ACTCCAGCCTTACATTCACCACTTATGTCAGTTACAAATGCAGTATCTGGTATAATTATAGTTGGTGGTATGGAATTGATGGATGGAAAATATTTACCAGGATCTTTTACTGGGTTATTGGCAGCCATCTCTGTTGCCATAGCATCACTCAATATTTCTGGTGGTTTCTTAGTCACATAAAGAATGTTAAATATGTTTAGAAGACCAACTGACCCTGCTGAATACAATTATTTAATGGCATTAGCAGGTGCTACAGGAGTACTTGGATATTATGGTGGACTTTATTATGGAATTCCAAAAGAACCATTGACAAATCTTTCATATTTAGCTTCATCTATAGCTTGTATATTAGCACTTGCTGGATTAGCATAATAATAGACAGCTAGAATTGGTAATAGTTTTGGTTGTTTGGGAGTTGGATTGGGTGTTGCTGCAACTTTAGGATATAAAGGATATTCTCCAGAATTATTAGCTTAATGGGCATCAATGGTTATGTTAGGTGCTACTATTGGAGGTACAGTTGCTACAAGAGTTGCTATTACTGATTTACCTTAATTAGTTGCTTGTTTCCATTCATTTGTTGGATTGGCAGCAGTATTAACATCTATTGGTAATTATTTACATGTATTCCCTCATTTGGCTGAAGATCCAGCTGCACTTGTTCATAAATTATCAATCTTCTTTGGTATTTTCACAGGTGGTATTACATTTACTGGATCACTTATTGCCTTTGCTAAATTATAAAATCTCTTGCCTTCAAATCCAACTGTTATTCCTTATCATAATTAAGTTAACATTGCATTGGCAGCCTTATCTGTTGCATCTTTATTAATATATAATTAAACAGGTAGTTTTGCTGTAGGAATGACTGCCTTATTAACAGCAACAGCTGCTAGTAAAGTCTTAGGAGTTACATTAACAAATGCTATTGGTGGTGCTGATATGCCAGTTGTAATTACAGTTTTGAATTCATATTCAGGATGGGCATTATGTGCTGAAGGTTTTATGTTAGATAATCCATTATTAACTATTGTTGGAGCATTGGTTGGATCATCAGGTGCTATTCTTTCTTATATTATGTGTAAAGCCATGAATAGAAATTTAACAAGTGTTATTTTTGGTGGTTTTGATGTTAATCCAGCTGCTATTTAATCTACTAAAGTTGAAGGTACTCACACTGAAATTAATGTTGAATAAGCTGTTGAAATGATGGTTAATAGTAAATCTATCATCATTGTTCCTGGATATGGTTTGGCAGTTGCTAAAGCATAATATCCAGTTGCTGAAATGTGCAAAACACTTATTGATTAAGGAATTAAAGTTAGATTTGGTATTCATCCAGTTGCTGGTAGAATGCCTGGATAATTAAATGTTTTATTAGCCGAAGCTGGTATTCCATATGATATTGTGTTTGAAATGGATGAAATTAATGATGATTTCCCAGATACTGATCTAGCTGTTGTTATTGGAGCTAATGACACTGTAAATTCAGCTGCTGAAGAAAATCCAAATTCACCAATTGCAGGTATTTTATTCAATTAAATTCTTTAGGAATGCCTGTATTAAGAGTTTGGGCTGCTAAATAATGTATAGTTATGAAGAGATCCATGGGTGTTGGATATGCTGCCATTGATAATCCAGTATTCTATAAACCAAACAACAATATGTTATTGGGTGATGCTAAGAAAACCTGTGATGAACTTTCCTCAAAAATCAAAGATCATTTTAAATGATGATCAATTAGGTTGTACATTTTCATATAAAATATAAAAATATTCTTAAATAATAAATTCTATATCCTTATTATTTTATTTAGTTTTATTTTAATAAAATTAAAGTATTCATTTTACTTACTCATTAGTATTTGTAATAAAACACAATTCTTATTCTTAAGAGAATAAACAAATAATCATAAATCTACAATAGTATATTATTAGCTTTCAATAAATAGTATGTTTAAACGTAAAAATATTATATTCTAAGAAATCTACTTATTCTCCTAAAAAATAACTTTGTTAAGGCTTATTTATTGTGTTATTCATTAAAAAAAATTAATTCTTTTATTACACTTATTAGAATAATAATAAAGTTCACAAATGATGTTTGTAGATTAATATTATTTCCTACTTAATATATTTTAAATAATCAAACTAATATCTATCTAATTATATATTTTTGTTAGATAAATTTAGAAATTTATAACTAGTTAACTTAGGATATATTATGTCTTAAGAGTTTCACTAAATATAAAAATGTGTGTCCTCTATTTTTATTAATATTTAATAATGATTTGTAATATTATAGACATTGCACTCAGCTCAACACCATAAAAAGGAAGAACCTCCTAAGCAAATACAACAGTTTCATCTGCTAGTTCAAGTGATTCTTCCTTTGAATCTAAATATATGCCTAAATTATAAATACCTCGACCATAGCTAAGTTAAGAAGAAAAGTTTGAAGCTTCCTTATGTGCATTTGGTATCATATTTTTATCATGAGACTTTAAATTGCTTATGCCTGATGAAGGAAGTCTCTAAAACCAAAAATTACTTTTTTAAGAACTCATTGAAATGAAGTTCTTATTTGATTGTGATGAAAAGGTTTTGTATTAAAATACACTTTATTACAACCTTGAAATTTGTGAAGAGAATGTAATAATTAATTTCTTAATTGAGATTCTTTATGATGAAAGAACCACTCTAATGTTAAAAAATATACCTAAATATATGAGACCAGGTGATTTAAAAAACCTTCTTAATAAAGACTTCAAATCATAATTTGATTTTCTTTACCTACCAACTGATAACAATGTAATTATTAAATTAATCAGATAAGAATGAAGGAAATCTAGGTTATGCATTCGTCAATTTTATTTCCCCAGAAATTGTATTGAAGTTTTTCAAAAAATACAATAATAATAAATGGAGTATAAATGATAAAGTAGACTAAGATATTAATTATAAAAGCAAATTTGTTAATTGAAGTATGCAAAATTACAGGGTCGAAGAGATTTAATGAACTAAATGGATGAATGATGTTAAAGGCGTTGATATTTTAATCATTTTTGTTTTTATTTTTCAAGTTTTGAAATTTATTTATTATTTTCTTCCTTTTAATTATTATTTATTATTAATAAAATTAAGAAGTTTTTAAGTCTATTGATAGCCTTCTTTTTTTAATTATTGTTATATAGTAATATATTAAGAAAATCAAAAATTTTAAGAAACTATAAATTTACTTTTTTATGATTATTTTTTTACTATTTTATATATAAAATAATTATGTTCAGAAAAGTACTTTAAAATTTTACAAAAAAGAAATTAAAAATAGATAATTATGGATAGAATTTATAAGATCCTTATTAATATCATAAATCACTAAATAAATTAAAATCTATAGATCCAAAATATTAATCAATAATAGATGAACCTCATTTCTAAAAAGTACTTTTTTTAATTATTCCAGCTTGCAAATTTTAGAAAGGAATATTTACTCAATTTGACTAGATGGCCAGATGATAATGAGGTTTTGATTGACATTGATAAATTCAATTTTTTCGAATATATTAAATTTCTTTCTAAAAGCAAATTTGATGATTTAGAGGAAAAAGATTAATTCCCATATAGAGCATTTCAAGCTATCTTACTGTTTATTTTAGTGGAAATTTTAATAAACCTTTATTATTATACTTGCAAAGATTAATATAAAGAATATTAAAGAGAAGACATAAAACCTCATTATAATTATAAAAATTTAGAAAATGAATTAAGATATTCAATATTATTATTTAATAGATCAGTCAATTGAATATGTATATATATACAATATATCATTTAAAATTTCAGTTCTTACATTCAAGACATATATATTTTTTTAATTTTATAGCTTGATCTTAACTTAGTCCTACACATTTCAAATGAAACCATTTTTAGCATATTTCACAAAATATATACCTATTTTCATAAAATTTATGATACTTTAAATCTGGATTAGGAGGCTTTCTACAAATACAAACCTTTTTCCATTATTCAAAAGGTGGCGATAACTTTTCATCAATATATGTAGCTCTCATAAAGTATACATTATCATTTAACTCTTCTATTTTATCATATTCTTCATAACTTAAAATGATTGCTAATCCTATTATGCTTTCGATTTCTATATAATCGAATTCATTAGTTTTAAAGACTTCATTTTCAGAAATACATTCTAATTAATCCTTAGGTAAACCCATCAACTCAGTTTTCCTATTATACCACTATATTTTAATAAAAGGTAAGTAATTATCTTCATCATCGTGTAGTTTCACAATCTTGGTCAGCTTGGCGATATATACAGATCTATTGTCTCCTCTTATGCATAGATTTTAGCCAACATTATATATTTAGTTTTAGTATTTAAGCTTTTAATAATTTGTTCTAAAGTAAAGGAAAATGCCCTAACCTTGACTTTTAATCAGTTTGTAAAATTTTTACAACAGATTTAAAATCTTTTCTTCTAAGTAAATTTGATATTTGGCACTGCTTTTTTAATGCAATTTAATCTTCCTTAAGAGTATAGGTAGAAGAAATCTTTTGTTCTTAAGACACTGACATCCGATATCTAGTTGAGATTTAAAATAAAATTAATCAAATATTTACTTGCTACTAAATCTTTATATACTTAGATTATCATTGCATAATAATGAAAATAATTAACTAAACTTAAACCTAAATATAATCAATTACATCAACAATTCTAAAAGAATTTAAATAATAAACTCTTTTAATTCTTTTATGAATAATAAACATATAACTAAATAAAAATATATTTCTAATTCTAGTTATCAGTTTATCAATTGACAAAGTAGAAAAATTATATTCAAAAAAGATAATAAAATTAATTATTTAAATATTTATAAAATTAATACTGTAAGCATATTTCAATTATAATCATTTAATATCATATCAAAAATGTTTACAAATACATAATAAACAAAAAATTAGTTAAAAAATTTCTTATGGTATTAAATTAAAATTAAATTTCTTATTCAAAATTAAATCTTCAGAAAATTAAATTATTGTGATATAGAAAATTTTATTATGAAATAATTACTTATTTAATCATATTATTACAAATAATGGAAATAATTCCTCTATTATTTATTCAATAATAATTATTTGATTTAATGTTTAAAATTAAATTATTATTATTTTTTATGTATTCAAAATATCTATGTATTAGAATTAATGATTTTGAACTCCATTTCATTTCAAACCGATTGATAAATTGAAAATAATTGATCTGAATAAACTAAAGATAATATTATATTTTTTATTAACAAAATAAATATAATACAATATTAATAAATTGATATTTATAATGCAATTAACTTAAAATAGAATTACAGATATTTCTTTATAAAGTTCAAATATTAATGTGTATATTCTAATCTAAAATCCATTTATAAAATCAAAAGGAATATTAATATTAAGGATTTAATTACAATAAATAATAAAAATATTAAATACTTTAACAATTTAATGTAAAATTTTGAGACTGTCGAGATTGTAAATCCAACTGTTGATTATTTAATAATAAAATGCTCATAAAATCTTTATGAACATTACTTAAGTGAAAAAGAACCTGGTTATAATTGTGAAGTGATAGCAAATTGGCAGTGTGGAGTTGTATAATAGGATTTCTTAGTATGTAAAATAAATAATAACAATAAAAGCCATTTGATCATGGTGAATCTAAATATGCTATTTTAAATAAATGGATAGATGAAGATGAACCTGTACTTAATTATATAATATGTTTTAGCATTTTAAGACAATTGATAATCTGACTGCCAAGGGAGTTAAAATAGTGAAAGTTTAACAGCCAACAACAGGTTAAGAAACATAAGATGATGCTAGATCATAAAAAAGTTAATCTTCTTCAAGATTCTCAAGAAATTCAATTGTGAAGTTTTAGAATTCTGTAAGCAAAATGAAACTTCTAAATAAATTGGGTGGATCTTCTCAATAGATGACAACTCTTTAATCGACAATTTAAGAAGAATACAAACCTAATCTTATAAAAATGCCAGATACTAAAAAACCTCCTACTCCAGATGCAATAATAGAAAGACTTCGTGAATAAAGAGAATATTAAACATTAGATAAATAGAAAGAAAATGAAAGAATGCGTAAAATAAAAGAAGAATAAATTGAATATGAAGAAAAAAAGAAAGAATAGTTGAAATAATTAAAAAATAAATAATACACTTATGATTATGATGGTTAAGTGGTGTTTCTAACAACAAAGTAAAACATCTCTATAAAAATAATAGACCTATAGATTTATAAATAAATGAAATACTTTAACCAGAAACAAAAACTAATTAACCATAGAAAGTTATTAAGGAAGTGAATTCCTAACCTGAAATAAAACCAGTTAAAGAAGCCTTTGCTAAAGGAGATGAAGATAATAGGAAACTTGAAAAAGCAGCAGCTGTTGAATATCCAAAATAACCTTCTTTAATTGAAGCCATGAAGGTTTTATGAATAGTTATACTAGTCTAAATAAGGTACAAATATCATTTTTGATAATGGTTGTGTTAAGGAAGGAGGTGAATATAAGATTCCTGATAGAATGAGTAAGAGGGATTATTAAACAATGGTGGATGGTTTATAATAAAAAAATAAAAAGTAATATGAAGATGTAGAAGATGGTGTAGTTGAGGAAATGGATACATATGAATAGAAAATATATGATGCTATTAATCGTGAAGGAGATAGAAATATCAAAATATAAAATGAATAATATTTTAAATGGATGATGGAAGATGAAGATATCAAAAAATCATATCGTTCATCTTCAGCTGAATCAGCTAATGCAAAGAGTGTTTATGAAAGCAAAAAATAGTTCAAAAAACACACTAAAGAAAAGGAGAAAACAAGTCCTAAAAAACTAAAATCTTAATTTGATAGAATAAATGCTTATAAAAATTGTATTATATATGTATATTTATTTAGTTGATGATATGAAAAAACCTCAAAATCTTAAAGCAAGTAAATTACACAAAGCTTTGAATGAATTTGATTCGAAAATATAAAGTCCAAAATGGGGTAATACTGATATTAAAGAAATACCATAACCTAATTCAACAATCTATAAATTAAAGCATAAATCTGAAAGCCAACCTAAATTGCCTCCTTTAAGATAAAAAGGAAGAATTTGAGCTTTTTTTATTATTAAATATATTAAAATTATAAGATGGATAAGGTTTACAGTTTTAAAGCCAAAACCTAAGTTGGTCATATCAAATAAGTTATAAATCAAGAGCAAAAGCTTCAGTTTTATAGTGAAGAAGAAGGAGATAGTACAACATCTAAAGATAATACTCCTAAAACAATCATAAAACCTAAGGCGAAACCACCAATGCAAAATGGATATTAGACTGATGATTCAGATTCAGGTACCCCAAAAAACTAAAAGCCATAAACGAAATAGCCTTAGGGTAATATAGATTATATTTAGGTGCTAAGATGTCTAGATTCAGCAATCTAGTCAATACAAAAAAGGTTGAAGGAGATGTTGAATAGGAACCAGATTTTAGTGACTAAGAGAAAAAACAAAAACCAGTATAAGTTTAATAACAAGAAGGAAATTATAATATTGAAGAACAAGCTTAAAGGATATAGTAAAAATTAAGTTAATAATCCCCACAGAATATGAAGCTGAATAAAAATAAGTATTCAGATAAAATCAATTTTAGATAAGCTGTCTCTATGTAAAATTTGAATGTGAATTCAGACAATGAATAAAGTAAAAAGAATTCGCAAAATAATTCCAAAGATAAGTTAAGTAATCATCCTTTTAGACATCTTATTTTTGGTCCAATTATCAACGAATAAGCATTTAAGAAACATCTTATATTAACATAGAGAGGTTTAATTTATGCAAGAAAATGTCTTAAAGGACCTTCTGATAAATTCATATAATCAAAAAAAATCCAACTTGCAGAAGCCAATCCAAAAAAAGATAAAACTTTAGTACTTGATTTAGATGAAACTTTAATTCATTCATGTTCTTAAAGAGAAAACCCTTAAGTTTATGTAACAGCTGTTGGAGATTTTGGAGAGGAAGCAAAAGTAATTTATTGGAAAATAATTAGATTGGGATTAATATTCGTCCATATACAACACTATTCTTGTAGTAGTTATCTTAACATTATACTATATACATATATACAGCATCATCTTCAGCCTATGCATTAGCTATTATTAATTATTTAGATCCAACAAAATAATACATTTCTGGTATAATGACTAGAAACAATTGTATGGAAACAAAAAATGGTTTTTTCATCAAAGACTTAAGATTAATAGGCAATAAGGAATTAAAAGATATACTAATTGTTGATAATTTAGCTCATTCTTTTGGATTTTAAATTGAAAATGGTATACCAATCTTAGAATGGCATTAAGATTAAAATGATTAAGAATTAAAATATCTAATAGATTATTTAATTGATGCAGTTAAGTATCCTGATCTTAGAGAATATAATACAAAGAAATTGAAATTGGATGATTTAATTGAATTTCATATTGAAGAATGAGTTATTTTATTGTTTATTTCATTAAAAAACTTACGATTAAAGTAATAATTAAATCACAAGATTGAACAAAATTAAATATATTTATTTAACTAAGTGAACCTAAACTAAATATATATATATGTTATAATTTCTCATAATTTCTTAAAGTTATTTTTAATAGAATCAGAAAATTAATTTAAGAGTATTAATTAGTAATATGGATAAGATATATGTATATATTTGATCTTAAAATTTAATAAATAATTTTAACATGTATAGATTTGATTGATCAATATAAAAACTGTCAAAATAAGTATTTTAAAAACTATTTTTATCAATGATATTCAATAATTAATATTTTAGTTTCAATAAATATTTGTTATTTTCTATGAACGATTCTGATTCTCAAATTAACAATCCATTAAGTAATAGCCATGTCTCGAATTCAGATTAAGAATAATTGATAAGATAGGAAGAATCAGATTGTGAATTTGAATGTTCATAAAACCCTATGTTAACAGAGGAAGAAAATAATGAAAAGTCTGTTGTAATTAATAAGCTCATTTAAAATTCATGTAAGAATTAATCTTATCTAAGAATCTTCTAATCAAAGAAATAAGAAAAGTTAATTAGGATCATTTTTAACTTCTTAATAACTCGAATCATAATAATACAAAATATCTGTTTAATATGTGGATTCAAATATTGGTAATCCTTTATGTTCAGGAGAAGAAGAAACTCAAGAAAATTTGAGGAATATGAAAGAAAAACTTCAATAATTAGAAATTAAATTTGAAAGCTAAGGAAATGAAATCAAAGAAATTCAAAGTAATAAATTAATATAATTTAGACAATTTTAATTAAACAAAAGAAGAATTACAACAATTGAAATCTGATAATGAAAATTATAAGAAAGACAATATTGAAATTAGATAATAGTTGTAAAATTACCAAAATGAAATTCAAAAAGTCTAAAATTTAATATCATTGATGATCTAAGAGAAATAATTAAATCGATATGATTATCCAAATTAAATTTAGAATAAAAGATCTAAAACAACAGTTGAATTAAGCAAAGACTTAACTGATAATTAGGAAGATCAGTCTAAACAAAAATAAAAATAAACCAATAGTAATGGATCTCCTATGAAATAAAGTGAAAATCAATTATCTTAATAATAAGCTAATTTTCTTATAAATAGCTCAAAAAGTTATTACCATAAACCATACATACCTTAGGTTCAACTATTTAATGCTAATTAATTAGCTGCGTTACTTAAATTACGTATTATTTATTATAATTGAAGCCCTAAATAGAAAGGATGAAGAAAGAAAGGATTTTCAACAGAAAATGATTGGAAAAGACTTTAACTATTTATTTCATAAACCAGTTAACACTAGTGGTAAAAATTTAATTTAGATTTTATGTAGCAATAAATTTGAATCAAGTAAAAGGATAAGGTGTTCCTTCATCCTATTCATTTATAAACACTTCCCTGAACAAATGAAGATGATTTAAAATACTTTTTATTTAATATATCTCAATTTTTATCTTTTAATTAAAAAATTAGAATCAAATTTAAGATAGTTGGATAAAAATTCTATCTTTTGATATTAATAAACACAAGACTTTCAACCATATCCACTATCTTTAAATTTTCCTTAACTCTAATTTTATTAATTAATCCTCTCAGAATATTTACCAATCTCTAAATAGTTTTAATTATAGAATCCTCTTCTATATCACTTTATAAGCAAACAATCAACAAATAATTAACCTTAAAAATAAATCCGATAGAAATATTCTTCATATCTTTAAATTGACATTATTTCTCTAACAATTATATAGTATAATCTTATAAATATTAAAAGTTAGGCTTATTTTCAAAGCTAAAACTAAATCATTTCATTAATTTCATAAAATATAATTAGATTCAAATATTGATTTTGTTTTAATTTTGAGAACAATAAATATTTTTTCTAGAATATTATAAATTTTATAATAATTTAGAAAAACTTTTGAAATATGATGTTATATTATAATGTAAATTTTAATTGGAATAAAGTAAATATTAGGTTGGAGTTGATTCTATAATTTATTTATTTGCAATGAATAGACCACTTTCTTGTTCAGATCCTAAGTTCAATTTATTTAATGGGGGCTTAGGATGCTCAATGGATGGATGTGGTCAATACAACAAATGTCTTACAGTTTTAAATGAAAAGTTTATTGAAACAACAGGATGTTGCCGTATGAAAATTTTAGAGCCAAACTTTGTGACAATTTTTGTTTATATTTTGATTGTCCCAGTTATAGGAATAGCTAGTTTGGGAGCTTTAGGAGGTATATATATATTTTCTAATTTATTTAAGGAGGAATAGTAAAGCGTCCATTTCTGTAAGCTATTCTGAATTTTGATGCAAGCATAGCTGGAGATATTACTGCTTGTTTAATGATTAGTGCACAAATAGTGAATATGGTGTTCATATTTCTCTAAAAGTAATTTTGCAGATTAAGTAAAATAGTCATCCTGATGTGCCAGAAAGACCAGTCATTAATTATGACATAGCTATTATTTATACTTTAGCTATTCCGGTTGGTTTGTGTTTAGGAAGTGATTTAGCAAACTTTCTACCGTTACTACCTTTACTATCATTTCAAATATTATTTTTCTTAGCAATATCCCCTGTTTTAATATATTATGCTAGAAGACAAAATGAATTAGAAGATATAAAAGATCAAAACAGTGATGTAGTAAAGGAATCTGCACTTCTAACAGTGTCTTAGTAATAAATCTAAAATCAGAATGATTACACTGAAAATCAAGCTAAGCTTTATAAATAGCTTTATGCTGAACAATGTTAAAGATTTCCACTTGTACCTATTTTAATAACCTTGGGGAATTTTGCAATCAATGAAGTAATAATTACTATTATCTATTATTAGCTTTTATTACTGTTGAGATCTTCTCCATATCAATATTCTCCATATTTCTTTCCAGAAGGAGATTTAAATAATTAAAATAGGGATAAAGGTCCTTGTGAACCTTGGAATTTTTATATGGTTCTTTTATTAACAGGAGTAAACTTTTTGATAACAGGTTCTGTTTACTTTTTCATGAGAAAAAAGGAATTGTTAAAAAATACAGTAAATTTTTATCCTCATGAACGTTACTTCACACCTCCTAGAAGATTCTTTTTTGTTTATGCAGCAGGATTTTTAACAGGATTTGTTGCTGGTTTTGTAGGAATGGCAGCTGGATTAACAATGGTAGTAACTATGGTTCAATTTAAATTAATTGCTGCTGTTGCAGGAGCTACAGCCAACTATTGTTATTTCTTAATTTGCATTTAAGTATTTACAAACTTCCTTGTTGGTGCTTCATAGAGTTAAGGTTTGGATATTGGTGAACAATTCTTTTTCTATGCTTTAGGAGTAATTATTTTTTTAAGATTTTATAGATATTAGCAGTTCTAACATTCACAAATTATGGTTATAGATTATTGAAGAAATATAATGTAGGGCATATAATTTTTTATATTGACTTTGCAATTGTTGTTTTAAATATTATTGGTAATATTGTATGGGGAATTGAGAATGGTTATCGGGATGGTTTTCGTTCATTGGAGTAACAGCCTTCAACATGTGGAAATTTGGTCCTTGATAACTGAAGAATTATATTTATTTATTTTAATTTATTTTAAATAAGTTTCATTTTGCACACCAGAATGTTCAAAATGGTTACTTTCATCATATATGAATATTTTAGAAATAATCTAATTACTATTCATAAAGCTGCCATATAATACTTTATTATGCAATTATATCAAACTATCTAATTTGTCATTCAGTTAAATTGGTAAGTTCTTAAGTTCTTCTAAAGTAGAAAATATTCTATAATTATTTTTATAATGTCTTCATTATTGTCATGCCAAAATAACCAATACTCTTTATTTTAAGGAGTTGGAACCATAAATTGTCAAAGCTCTACATGTGGGTAGTTCTCTGCATGCAATAGCTTGGTTTTATCAGGCAAACCCACTGGCTAAGTAGGCTGTTGTAGAGAAGGAGTCTTGTATCCGAATGCAGTTTCTATTATAGTTTATATTCTAATTATTCCAATTATTGGAATTGGCAGTCTTGGAGCTTTGGGAGGTGATCATAATATTAAATTCATTAGGTGGCGTTGTAAAAAGACCCTTTTTAGAGGCCATTCTAAATTTCAATTCCTCTACTTCTGGAGACATCACTGCTTGTCTTATGTTTGGTGCATAATTAGTGAATCAAGTCATAATCTTTTTTTAAAGGTATTTAAAAATATTCTATGTTTGTAGTCATCCTGAATCTCCTGAACGTCCTTTGGTTAATTTTGAGATAGGATTAATCTATGCTTTAGGGATACCAATATCAATGTAGGTTGGAATGGAATTGGCAAACTACCTACCTCTTTTGCCTTTGTTGACACTATAAATGCTTTTTTTCATAATTATTTGCCCAGTACTTTTATATTTCGCAAAATCTGAACAAAAAATTGAAAATAATAAAGAGGTTAATAATGAAATGCAGTAATCTTCCATCATCACAATAGAGCAATAGGTCAAGGGCAACATAATTGAAGAGCAAAGAATGGCTGAATTATTTAAACAGCTTCAAGAAGAATCAAATTCAAGATTTCCATTATTGCCTATCCTTTTAGCATTTGGAAATTTTGCAGTGAATGAATTGATAATTTTACTAAGGACAACATCATACTAAACATCACCATATTTTTATCCAAATGATTAAAATTTTGGTAATAAGTATTCTGCTTGTGAACCTTGGAATTTTTATATGATGATTCTCTTGTTTGGAGTTAATTTAATAATCACCCTTTGGGTACTCTTTTATATGCGTAAAAAAGAACTTCTTAAAAATACTGTGAATTTTAATATGAATGAACGTTACTACACACCAATATCTAGATTTTTTATGATTTATGGTGCTGGTTGGGCTACAGGATTTATAGCTGGATTCTTAGGAATGGCAGCTGGATTAACTATGTTTGTAACTATGATAGAATTTGGCTTAGTTGCTGCAGCTGCTGGAGCTACAGCAAATTATGGATATTTTATTATATGTTTGCAAGTTTTTATTTCTTTCGTAGTTGGAGAATATTAGGATTTGAGTTTAACAGTCGGTTATCAATTTTTCTTTTATGGAATATCTGTATTTATTTATATTTATATTTTAAGGCTATTGGAGTTTTGATTTTTACTAATTTAGGATATTATATGATTAAAAAGTACAATGTAGGACATGTCTTATTTTATATTGACTTTGCTTTGGTTTTACTCAATATGATTGGTAATATTGCCTGGGGTATAGAATAATCTGAAAGATTTTCATATCATTCTTTGGTATACAATCCACAGAGTTGTACAGCTTAAATTTTAAGCAAAAGCTCAGTGCAATGAGCTTTATTTATTTATTTATTTATTTATGTATTTTTAATGCAACAATCATATATTAATTCATTAAAAATAATAAATCAATTACCAATATTGTAGCATATAAACTACCTATTTGAAAATTTTACATAATTGAACATAGAAGATTGGACATGCTCCTGAATCAATTCCTTATTGAACTTAAAAAGTTTAATATTTTAATTATATTAAAAATAATAATATTTATTAATAATTAATTCAAAATAAATAGAACTTTACCAATTATAAAATATATTTGAAAGTCTCTTTTAAAGTATTTATTATGAAAGGATTCTAAAATATATTTCATAAATTATTATAATAAATAGTTGCTTAAGTTATATTAGAGTAGGAGCATTATAAACAGAAAAAAAAACTAATAATTTATAATTATAATTTCAGTCTAATTGTTACAATTTTCAATTATCCTTCTAAAGATTAAGCAATAATGTTCATAAACTTTAAATTTCTTTAACAATATTTTTTAACTTCTTAAGAATTGGAGTATCTGACTTATTGAAAATTTAGTATACGTTAAATCAAAATAATTTGACTTTTATATTTATTTTATAAGAATTATTGAAATTGCTATAAAATATGATGATAAAATGATTATTTTTATTTCATCAACTTTGCTTAATAAGTAGAAAATTTGTCTTAGATGACCTTAAGAAAAATAAATTAAATTGATTTAATTTAAATAATTTTAATAGTGGAAATAAAAATGTTTTTAGAGAATTTTTCTATATGAATTCAATTTATAAGGATTTGCTTGTTTCTTTTTGAATAATAGCATTTTTTATTAAATCATACTTGGATGCAATTGAAATTTGTTCTTGGGTTAAAAAGATATGTTATTTAAAGTCTATTCATATTAATGAACAATCTTATTTATTTTAATAATGTCATCATTTTTTTCATGTGAAGATGATCAATACTCTTTATTTTAAGGTGTTGGAACAATAAATTGTAATAACTCTACATGTGGATAGTTTTCTGTTTGCAGCAACTTATCTTTTAAAGGATAACCCATTAATTAGATAGGCTGTTGTAGAGAAGGAGTCTTGTATCCTAATGCAGTCTCAATTGTTATGTACATTCTAATTATTCCAATTATTGGAATTTGCAGCCTTGGAGCTTTAGGAGGTGAAAATAATATTAAATTCATTAGGTGGTGTTTTTAAAAGACCATTTTTAGAAGCCATTCTTAATATAAACTCATCAACTTCTGGAGACATCACTGCTTGTCTTATGTTTAGTGCCTAAATAGTGAATTAAATCATAATCTTTTTTCAAAGGTATTTAAAATAATTTTATGCTTATAGTCATCCTGATTAACCTGAACGTCCTTTAGTTAATTTTGAAATAGGATTAGTCTATGCATTAGGGATACCTATATCAATGTAGGTTGGAATGGATTTGGCAAACTATTTGCCTCTTTTGCCTTTGATGACACTATAAATGATCTTTTTTGTAGCTATTTGCCCTGTTCTTTTATATTTTGCTAAATCTGAAGAAGTTATTGAAAACAATAAATAAAAGAAGAGTGAAATACAACCATCTCCCATAAATACCAATGAATTAAATGTTGAAACCAATATAAATGAAGAATAAAGAATTTCTAATTTATTTAAATAGTTTTAAGAAGAATCAAATTCAAGATTTCCATTATTGCCTATCCTCTTAGCATTTGGAAATTTTGCAGTGAATGAATTAATAATTTAACTGAGGACAACATCATATTAAGTATCACCATATTTTTATCCAAATGATAAAGATTTTGGCGATCAATTTTCTGCTTGTGAACCATGGAATTTTTATATGTTGATTCTCTTGTTTGGTGTAAATATCATTTTTACATTCTTTGTATTCTTTTATATGCGTAAGAAAGAACTTCTTAAAAATACTGTGAGTTTTAATATGAATGAACGTTATTATACACCAATATCTAGATTTTTTAAGATTTATGGTGCTGGTTGGGCTACAGGATTTATAGCTGGATTCTTAGGAATGGCAGCTGGATTGACTTTGTTTGTAACGATGATAGAATTTGGCTTAGTCGCTGCGGCGGCTGCAGCTACAGCAAATTATGGATATTTCATTGTATGTTTGCAAGTCTTTATTTAATTTTTAGTAAAAGAAAATTAAGATTTAAGTTTTCAAATAGGTTATCAATTTTTCTTTTATGGAATAGGAGTATTTATTTATATTTATATTTAAAGGCTATTGGAGTCTTAATTTTTACTAATTTAGGAATTTATATGATTAAAAAGTACAATATAGAACACATAGTATTCTATGTCGACTTTGCTTTGGTTTTACTCAATATGATAGGCAATATTGCCTGGGGTATATAATAATCTGAAAGATTTTCATATCATTCCTTGGTATACAATCCACAGAGTTGTACAGCTTAAATTTTAAGCAAAAGCTCAGTGCAATGATATTTTATGTTATTCATTTGTGAAGCAAAATTAGATTTTATAATTTAAATACTGCTTATTCTTACTAATGTGAACCACCTTTATCTAATCAAAAGAATAAGTAATTCATTAATTCAAATATCCATTAAATCTATTAGAATATTTCTTTGCTTAAAATTTATCTATTTTTTTTTCACTATCCTTTCAATAAAATTATAAAAAGTAAAAATATAAGGATAAGTCTACATTTAAGTATCTCTAAGTATCTCTAATGTGTCCTGGAATGATAAATTATATAGTAAATAATATTTTTTTACATTTCCTAATTCCTTTTTCAGAAAATCCATCTTCACCTATATTTTATCATTAGATATAAATTTTTATAACTCCTAAAATTATCTTATATTTGAACTTTGAAGAGTTTCTCTTAAGACTAATCTTTCTCTATTTAATTCTTTAATCAAAATTACATAACACCTCTTTCTTTTGAAATCACTATATTTACAATTTATATCTACATAAATTTTTTGGATAATAAATACTAATTTATTTAAATTATTCTTATAATCTCTGCTTTGTCATTTTGTTATTTTCTCTTTGTAATTATATAATGCTCTCTAATATTTAGTTAATCTATTAATCTTAAATAAAAAGAAAATCCCCTAAATTCTTAATCATTTAGGTTAAACCTTGTTGTTTCTGATTTATCTCTTTTAATTCAACAACAAAATTCAAAAACTGACTCTTTATTTTCTATTGGAATATTTCTTTAAGTTACATAAAAACTATTAAGTGCCGTATGAACTAATCAAAGTAAAACTCTCCCATTTAGTAAGGGTATACACTAATATATAACTCCTAATTTATGAAAAAATCTTTTGGTAGGAAAGAGATAAAAAATGATTACGCTTATTCATTTAATAACCGAATTTATTTCTTCACGCTTAAACATTCAACTAAAATTGGTTATAGGTGATGACGAAATGCATTCCACGAAGCCCTAACAGACAAAAAATTAATATCTTTATTATTAAATTTTGAAACATAAAAATTCAACTATAAGTATTTGATACTTGTATTAAATCCAAAACAAAATAGAAATGCCATTTATTTAATACTTTAATAATTAAATAGTTTACAATAAGATTCAAATAGATAGAAAGGTTTTTATTTTTTAAAATTAAAAATCTAATCATAACTTTAGTATTTTCATTATACTCTTAAATTCCTTCAAAAAATATAAGAATAAGGTAAGTATAAAATTAATTCATATGCTAGAACCGAGTGTATGACTGTATATAAAAGAGAAGAATTATAAAACAAAATTAAATAATTTATCAAAAATAGAAAGACCTCTTAGTATCATTATATTAACCAAGATTTAATATAGAATTAGAGTAAATTTGAAACATTAAGCTAAAATTTAATAAAAGTATTTTAAATTTTCTTAGATTTTTTCCCAAAAATGAAAATATTTATATAATACAATATTATCAAAAACAATACTATATACTACATCAAAAACTTATGCGAGAGTTACTTTTTAATGAATTTAAACTTTGAATTTTAGTTACAACACTTCTAAACTAAGATAATTTTAATATTTTACTTTCGAATTTTTAGTTATGAATTAATTTCTTTTCTTTTCTACCCTTGTTAAATTGAAGACTCTTGTATTTTCAAATTCAAATATCATTTCCTTTTTCTTTAATTGAGATTTTGTAAAGTATCTTTTCAAGTCATCTTATTTCAAGTAAAAACAATAATATTATAAATATGATTAAAATTCTTCAACACCAAATGAACTATATTTTGGTGGAATTTAAGATATTGATCCTCTTTTTTATATTTTATGATATCTTTCTAAAACACATTCAATATTATATCTTTAACAAAAATTATGAAAACTAGAAACTTTATCAAAATTTGGTATTTCTGAAAAATTAATTTATTAAAATGTTTATTTTTTGTATTTCAATGTATTTATTTATTCCAAAAGATCATGAAATCTATTAGTAGCTATTTAATCGATATATTAATCTTCTATTATTATTCTTTAAGTTAATTAACCCACTTTTTTTTTGGAATGATGTGAAGACTCTTCATAATTAAATTCTATTTAATCAAACTTTTTTTTATTTTTATTATTAAATATTGAAACTTATAAAGATGTTATTATTCTTGAAGGAGTATCATCTTCTATTGAATTATTATCATCTTCAATATTATAATAATTATTAAAAATTGTATCAACAATTCCTTTTGAACCAAGAAATGAAATTCTTTTATTATTAATTTTAATGAATCGTTTCTAAGTTTATTATACTTAATAAGCTGAAAATCTTGCATTAAAATCCCTTCTATCTTTTCTTATATATACAGTTTCTTCTATTTTACGATATTGATGCAAAAAAGAAAGAAAATGAGGGGCATTACTATATAATTAAAAGAATTTACACTTAAAAATGTAATACTGGACATTCTTTAGCCAAATGATCATCCATTTAGCAAACATAGCATCTAATTTGTAAATAACTATAATCTGATTCAAATATTATTGCATTTCTTACTTTAAAGTACTATTGTAGATCTTTTGGATAAGATTTAGCAATCTCTAAGAATTTCTATTAATTTAATACAAAAATATGAGAAAATGTTCTGCTTATTGCACTAGCTGATCTTAATTAATTAGAATAAAAACTGATTTCTCCAAAATAATCATTTTTTATTTTATTATCAATTACAATATTTGTTTTCATGAAATATATATCCACACTCCCTTTTTGTATTAAATATAAATCATTAGTGATTGAAGGAATTTCAAGAAATATTATTTCTTCTGGAAAAAATAGTTTATCTTCTAAAATTGGAATTATTGCTTATATGAGAAATCTCTTTGTATGTAAATGCCATATAATATCTGCATGTCCAAATAGTTTTCCATTTACTAATTCTTAGATATCTTTTCCTAACTCATCAGATAATAATTTTGTAATATCTTTTAATAGGATTTAATGACTATCCCAAACAAATTCTAAGTATTTTCTAACTTTATTTTACAAAACATCTGGAATATTTGCTTTTTTCATGTATTTATTGAGTAAACTTACTTTTTATTTTCTAACATTTGATTTTTCTTCTAATGATGATAAAGCAAATCCAATTGAATTCATTGTAAATGCAAACCCTCCACAAGCTACTAATAATAGAAATATTCCCAATAATCTTTCAACTGGAGTTTATGGACTTATATCTCCATATCCAACTGTTGTCATTGTTGCAACTCCCCAATAAAGTGAATTTATATATCTAATTTACCAATCATATTCTTCTTCTTAATCCCCTAACCAAGAATATTCTTCTTATATTGCAGTATAATGAAATATACAGCCTAAAACATGAGCAAAAAATAGTACAAATACAAATAATTTCATAAAAGTTATGATCACTCCAATAATCCGAGAAGTTTATATGTATTCATCAATTTTATCTATTATTTTTTTAAGTTTTGCTAATCTGAGTAATTTTAAAACTCTAACAAATTTCAAAAATTTAAATAGTCTTAATAATTTAGCACTTTATATAAGTTATTATGACTCATCAATAATAATTTCATATGGGAATGTTGAAATCATATCAATCCAAAACCAAAATTATAAGTAATTTTTAAATATATATCTTCTATCCATCTATAAAGCACCATCTATGTAAACTCCAGTATTGAAATTCAATAATATATCAAAAATAAATACTCCCAGTGATAAATTTTAAATCTCATTACTGATTTCTATTTCAAAACTTATTTAAAATGGTATGCCTATCATTTCATAAATAACAAATCCTAAACAAATTAAATCCCATATTAATTTTATAGAACCATCAGGTGTCATAGTATATGGACGTTAAGGAGCTAAATGCTTTTTGAGCTTTCTTATTTAAGAATTTAATAAAATTAGATAATGATGAAATTTCATTGCACATGTTTTCGAATATAATCTAGAGTGCTTTGAATTCATAAAATTTAAGCTTCTTTATTCCCATTAAAATTTTCTTCTTTATTTTAATAAAATTTTGAATTCTTTTTTTTTTTCTAACTCATCCCCAGAATCATCACTTGTAACAGTTATATCTCTTAAATATTTTAATTATTTTCTATTCAACCACTCTTTCTCTTTTCTACTTTTTTATAAATATTCATTTTATTTTATTTCATTCATTAATTATTGAAAATAAAAATGTAAATATTATTGTTGGCATGATCAATGATTAAAGAAATAACCATTAATTTACATTAAAAATAATAATAATATTTCCATCATAAATACAACTTATTTTTTTTATTTTTTCTTAATAAAACACAAAAGGCTAATAATTAATTCAAAGTAATATACTGATCCAAAACAAAAATTGATATTATATTCAAGTAATAATGTTTTAAATGTAAATACATTAGAGCTTTATTATATCAATAAATATCAAATTCAGTCAAGTTATATTAATTTATTATTATAGAAAATAAAATCAACCTCATTAAATAATCAAATAATCCCATATTCTTTTAAGATTTAATTAAATTTTTGTAGAGTTTGTTCTGTGTTCTTTTACACTTTATTTTCAAAAAAATTTGCCATATCTTCAGCCTTAGTTATAATAGAATTCTCTATTCCTACAACTTTAGCTACATTAATTCCAAAAGAAGCTTCACATGCTCCTTCCTTTAATCTATAAAGAAATATAACTTTTCCATTTTAAATATAACAAGCCATATGAACATTTGTTACTTCACTAATTAATTTTGCCTCTTCAACTAGAATTCTGAAATGAGTTGCAAAAAGCACTCTACATTATATTTTCTTAATAAGATAATGCATAACTGCAGAGGCTATAGCTACACCATCATATGTAGAAGTTCCTCTTCCTAATTCATCAGTGATAAATAAAGAATTTTTTGTTCCATATTTTAATGGTAATAATGTTTCTTCTAATTCTACATAAAATGTTGATTTTCCTTCCATTAAATAATCTTTGGCTCCTATTCTAGTAAATATCCTATCTATTGGAGAGAGTTCCATTTCTTCACATGGAACTGAACATCCAAGTTAAGCTAAGATTGCAAGAATACAAACCATTCTTAGAGTTGTGCTTTTACCTCCCATATTAGGACCAGTCAATAATTAAAATTTACTAAGCTTTTCCCCCATATCTATTGAATTAGAAACAAAATTTATATTGGTTAAACATGGATGTTTTCCTTCTTTAATAACTAATTTAATTTTGTCTGTTGTAAATATTGGCATAGTCATTTTTCCATCAGATGTATCTCCAAATACACTTAAAGAACATAATGCATCTAATTCATTTAATATTTTAATAAGAGAATCCCAAACATATTGATTAGATTAAAAATGCTTGAATATGAAATTACCAAAAGCATTTAATTATTATTTTTTTAATTCCTCTGCTTATTCTAATTCAGTAACTAAATCCTTAATTTCCTTAGTAATATATCTTTTATAACCTTATCTTGAAGAAGTGAATTCAAAATCATCAGGTTTTGACTTTTCTACTAATTCATCTGGAATTTCTATTTCATATCTAAATTTTGTATGTACATATTGAATGTTACTATTATTCTTAAATAATTTTTATTTAATTTTTTAGAGAAGATCATCAAGTTTCTATTAAACTAATTCAACTTCAGCAAGTGATTGATCATAACTTTCTAAGACTCCTGTAACTGGTTTAGGGATTTCTTTATCTTTTTCCTTTTCCCATATAATATATTATTCAAATTCATCTAATTATTCTTAAACATTAGGTAATAAACCTCCATTAGCTTCAAAAGTCATCATTTTTTTTAATCTTTCACTTTTAAAATTGATATTCAATTAACCAAATAATATTATTTCTTCCTAAGCAAGTCTCAACATTTTAGTAAGAATCTTAAATTCTTTTAACCTTTATTCAGATAAGTTTTCATAAAATACAGCTTTACTTTCAGATTTAATTGAGTATTCATAAATTCTACTACATCTTCTTTCAAAATCTGGAAATTATTTAATACTCTATCTAAATAAATCTCTTTCTTTTCTAAATTGACTAATATCACTTACCATAGTTTATCTTTCTCTAATTTAATCAACTTAATAAAGAGGTGCACAAACCCACCTTCTTAGTAATCGATGTCCACCAGGAGTAACAGTTTTATTTATCACACCAAATAAAGAATAATCTTTTTTGTCTACTAAAGTAGTTGTTTACAAAATTTCTAAATGATACTAAAATAAATAAGTAAAAATATTATACAATTGCTTAACTATCTAATATCATACATTATTATAATGAAAATTCTTCATCATATAATTTGAATTTAGCACATCCCAAAACTCGATCTAATATTAAGATTTAATTTAAATAAGTAAATAATCCATTTAAAGCTTATAGAACAACTTAATTATTTTGATAAAATTTAATAGCTGGAGGAAATCCATTTTAATAATATTATTCAAGTCTAAATAATGCTTTTTTTTCATCCCAATTATCTTTAGATGCTGTTAGATGTGAAATAACACTTTTAATAACAGATCCAGATATCATTTTGGTTATTGGATCAGTTGGAGGTAGATTATGTTAATCAATAACTGTTTCTACTGGTCTCATATGAAGTAATAAAGTCTTAAGAGATTCATAATTTTTATCTCTATTTTCAATAAATGCAAGTGATATTTTATTTGTTTATCTTTCAAAAATAGCTATTCCATATTCTTCTATTGTATTTGATAAGATTTTCTTTCTTATAACAAGTAAAACCTTTTCATCAAGATTCAATTATGATTCTCCTTCTTCATATAAATATGTTCCTTTTGTCAATATTTCACTTATTTATCTTTAAACTATTTTATCAGTGTTTCCTGTTCCACTTTTCTTATTTTAAGCTATTCTTTAATTCATTTACTCTGGTGTTTCTATTTAATCTACTATTGCTACCTTGTATCCATATTCTAATAAAAGAGCTTTATATTTATGGACTGCTCTTTCTGGAAATCCTGTATGCCTAATATAATAATAATAAATTTAATTACATTTTTCTTCCCATCCAATTTAAATCTAAATATTTATTTCCTATATAAGCATCTTCATAAAACAATTCATAGAATTTTCCTAATTTAAAAAATATAATCTTATCAAAATTCTCACTCTTATATTTCCAAAATTATTGCATACATTTAGTTAATTTATTGAATTCATTTTAAGGTATTAAAAGTGTAGTTGGATCTGCATCCTAAGTTCCATGTAATTTACCACTTTTATCTCTTGATGAACCAATAGCTGCCCATTTTGGAGTAACATCATCAAATTCTTCATAAACATTAATTTTATCTGATGGATGTTTAAAATCTATATTTCCTTATTTATTTTCTTAAGAATTATCAAATTCCTCTTCTTCTAATTTTGTAGATTATTTTAAATTTTTGCCGGATTTATCATATTCTGATTTTTTTTGTTTTTATTATGATTTAGTATTATTTTTTGTATTATCTTATTTTATAAAAACAGCTAATGATTTTTTCTCCTTATTCTTTTCCTAAGACCCTACAAAAGAAAATTTTTCAATTTTTAACTCATCTTAATCAAATTCTTTTTTTACTTATTCTTCATCACTATCTACTATATTATTTCTTTTTAATCTGCTTAATTATTATGGCTTATCTTGTGAATTTTCAATTTATTGTTCTTTAATTACTTTAATTTCTTCTTCCTTTTTTATAGAAGTGGCTGGCTTTATATATTAGATTTCAATCTTTTTTTCTTCTACTAAACTATTAACATTTGACACTTTATTATTATTTAAGTTTGTAGTATCATTCTTTTTCTATGAAGATGTTAAGAACCTTTAAAGTGTTGTTTATTTCATTATACCGCGAATTATTTTTATAAAAAAATGAATTAGTAAAATCTTAAACTATGCTCTGAAATAATTGATGATAAATATGTAAAAATAGCTTCAAATTCTCTTAATGCAAAAGAGAAATTGTTTAAATTATTACTATCCTAAAGATAATTACCTGAAGAAGGTTTTGATGATCTTACAATTGAATATTTGCTTAATATATTTGCAATTATGGATACTAATAATTTTGTTAATAAAGTAGGTGTTGGAGAAAGAGAAAGCAGAATTTTCTCAGCTCTTGTACAAAAGAGAAATTATTATATGGGACATGGAATTGGAAGATCAGGAGATCTAATAGCTAGTTAACCTAAAGCTGCAGGATCTTCTTTAATAGCAAAATTAACAAAACATTTGGCTAAAGATGCTTTAAAGTTGAGTAATTATCAAATTAATGAATTACTTATTGTACCTGTAGCTACAGGAATGGCATTATCACTTTGTTTATTAACATTAAAGTCTCTAAAGCCATAAGCAAAATATGTTCTATGGCCAAGAATAGATTAAAAAACATGTTTAAAATGTATTTAAACAGCTAATCTTATTCCTATTGTAATTGAAACAATGATCTAAGATGATGTAGTAACAACTAATTTAGATATTTTAATCTAAAAAATTAATGAAATTGGGCCAGATAATATTGTTTGTGTTTTAAGCACTACAAGTTGTTTTGCACCAAGAATTCCAGATAATATTGGAGAAATTGCAAAAATCTGTAAATAATTTTAAATTTATCATGTTGTTAACAATGCATATGGAATTTAATGTAATAAAATAGCTAACTCTATTAATTAAGGGTTAGCTTAAGGAACTGTCAATTTAATTGTTTCAAGTTCTGATAAAAATTTTATGGTTCCTGTTGGAGGAGCTTTGATATATGGTAATGATAAAAAACTCATTAAATAAATTAGTGAATTGTATCCAGGTAGGGCAAGTGCTGCTCCAATTTTAGATTTATTTATTACATTTTTATCTATGGGTAGATCAGGTTATTTATAATTACAAAAAGATAGAGTTGAAAATTATATATATTTTAAAGAGAAACTTTAGATTATTACATAGAAGATTTCTGAATAAATACTTAATACTCCTAAAAATAGCATATCTATTGGTATAAGTTTAAAGAATTTAAAAATTGATTAGAATAATTAAGAAGAAAAAAATTAAATAACTAAATTAGGAGCTATTTTATATTCTAAAAAAGTTATGGGATCTAGAGTAATTACAAATAAAAAAAATAAAATAGTTTGTGGTATTGAATTCAAGAATTATGGAAGCCATTGTGGTAAATACTATTATTTATATTAGATAATTATTTTACACCTTATATTACTGTTGCATGTGCTATAGGTTTAACAAAATAAGAAATTGATACATTTGCTTAAGAATTCGAGAAGGCTTACACTCAAAATACTTGAAATAAAATAATCACTGATCATTTTATTGTATAAATTAAATTTATTAAATGAATTTTATTACATTAAGATTCAATAATTCAGAATTTGAACATCGATATTCTTCCTAAAGAAAAAGTCTTTAAAAATAAAGCTAAACTGTTTATAGGCTATTTCTCATAATTTTAATATCATTAGAAATCTTTGGAAATGTTGTATAAAAATTATGGTTTGAAACTATTTTAAATTTGTTTGCCCTTTTGATCATGTTGCTTGGCTATATTTTTAAATAATAATTGGCCTCTTTAAATAGTACTTTAACCTTAATAGCCATTATAATTTACAATATTTAACATCCAATAAAATAAGGTTTCTTAAACCATTCAAATGATAAAGAAGTATTATAAAGCTATTTCATTTGTTTAGGAACTCTAGGGTATAATTATGAAATATTTTAGAATAATCTCTTAATGGAGTTATTTGATGAAAACCTTCATTACAATTATTGTACTCATTCTTAATATCACTAGTATTTGTTTAGAATCTGATCATTGGAGACAAATTTTGATATTTATTTTTTCTAGCATTATAGCAATATATAGCTATTACATAAATGAATAATAAACTAGAATTTCATTTATTATAATGAATAATAAAGACATTATTGAAGAAAATCTATATAAATAAATTGAAATTTAATCATATATAGTACATTATAATCTTAGACAGAATTAATTTGATTTAGTCAGGTAAAATAGAGTATCTTAAATTACTGAAAATAAATAACATAATTTCATTAATTTGATTAGGAGTATGAAAGTGATTTTATTTAGCTAAAGAAGAAGAAAATCTATTATCTAATCTTCATAAATGCTTAATCAATCTAATAAACTTAATTTAGAATAATTTTTGTTTTATTTATTTATGAATCATGAAAAAATGTAAGAGATAACAAAGAATTGTACAATAGATAATTTAACTTATGAATTGATAGGATTAATAGGATTAGATGTACATCATATAAAAATAATACGTACTGAAGATACAAAACCATGTTTAATAATTTTGATTAAAGAAAATAGAAAAGAATCATAAAATAAATCATTAAAATATAAATTGAAAATATCAAATAAATTATTAAATTAAGTTTAAGAGAGCATATAATCTAGAATTAGGATATGTTTAATTTATCTTAAATAAATTATATAATAGGAAATGTTGAAGAATAATAATATATAATAAGTATCTGATAATAAAAAAATTATTTTATTTTTAAATAGTTAAATTACTAAAACTTACACTGATATTAATAATATATAAGATTTTGCAAACTTGAATTCTAAATTTACTAAAGTTGTTCTAAATCATTTTGATATATTAAATTGTATATAGGATTGTATATCAATCTTCAATGTGCTTTTTCCTAAAAATCATTTAAAAAAAATTAAATTAATATCTCATTTGACAGATAATCAAATATATACGGATTAAAAGAAACTTAAGCAGTTACTTTTTAATTGCTTATACTTTATTTTTTAAAATACAGAATAAATTACAATTGAATTAAAGGATGAAGAAAGTAAAGATGATATAAATTAAAAATTCATAAAATTTGACATAATTTACTCTGGTTAAATTTTCACTGCTGAGAAAATAAGTAAATTACCTATTTTAAATCCTTAAAGTTTAGAAGAATTAAGACATAATAGTTATTAATAATTAAATCTAGAAATTCCTATTGCTTTAATGATAATCAGATAAATTGGACCTTATACATAAATTTAATTTAAATAAAATGCTGTATAAAAATAAAATATGCTCTCATTTTATATATTTAGATCTCTTGAAGACTTTCATTTAATTCCAATAATATCATTACATCCTTCAGATAATTTAATAACTAATTAAAAACTATTTAAGAAATCTTCAAATATAAATAAAATAGAGAAATAAAAATATTATCCAACTGAAGAACCTCATTTAGAAACATTTCGTTAAATAAGTGAGTAAATGATATCAAAATTTTGATAAAATAGATTTTGAAATGTAATTAATTCTACATAAAATATAGATAATTTATTTGATTATAAATTATATGAGAAAAAAAGTACAAATTTTAAATAAATCTATATGTATTTTTAACATAAGCAATAAATAATAATCTCTTCACTTTAATAATTTTTCATTATTTTTGATATATTTCATTGAGATATGCATTGAGCATAGAAGCACTTTGATTTCTTAACTTTAAAATTTTCTTCATTTTAGTCCCTTAACATTCAGTAATTATATGACCATTTTAAAAAGCCTTTTTATTGACTGTATCGTAAGATAAACCTCTTAAAGGTACATAAACTTCAATATTAGGTTCAGTTTTTGAATTAATAAAATTATTCTAATGATGTTTTTAAAAATCAGAGTTGTAAGTAGTTTCAAAATAATTAGGAGTGATATGAGCATATGTTTAACTATTTAAATTATGAAAAAGTTACTGATGTTGCATTTATTTAACATCTGAGGCTGAGAGAATGGAAGTCTTTGGACGATTTTTAGTAAAATCTTTATTATAACTGGTAACGGTCAAGATAGGGATCCCTGAATGAGTACTTATATGTTAAGGAGCATCAATCTTCTTATTTGGATCATGATCTTTCCAATCAGGATACATTTTCTATAATTCTTGTTCTTTCTTAATACTTGATATGTTGTGGTAGACAAAAACTATCTAGATGCTGAATTCTTTTTGTATTATCGTTTGTATCTTTACTAAATAGGATGTGCAGTAAAAGCCTTGCGTTATTAGGTTTACATTTCTAGAAATGGAGTCTGGATTGGTCTTTATTCATAATATCTTAAATTCAATTCTGGAGTATAAAATGATGAGGATGTTAATCCAAATTAGTAACTTTTCTTATAGGAAGTGTTATATCCTGATTTGTAGACTAATTTTGCATTGTTTACATAATTGCATTTGCAATTACAACATGCACATTTGAAACAAGCACAATTTTCTTTGATAGGATAATAGAATTACTTTAGAGATGATGAAAATAATCTTGATTCTCTCTAATTATTTGTTTAATATCAATATTTTAATCATCTATGTTAAGTTATTTTAATAATTCTTAAACAGTTGGATTTTCTATCGTTAAAGTTTCAAGAAAATCCAAGTTAACTGAAAAACATTTATTATTATCTTTTTTATTAGATTTAGAATTATTTGAATATGATTAATTAGCTAAGGATGCACTTCTTTTCTTTTCTTCCAATCTATAATAACAAAAATTCAATACAATTTATTAGCAGATTAGTAACTCTTAGTACTGATACATTAAGATATTTATTGGCTATCATATTAATACGATGAAATACATAGCTTCTTTTATTTTGTTTTTACTATTGCGACTATATTAGGTAGTTTTACTCATAAAATTTTATAATATCAATATTTATTTATAAACTTAAAAACATAAATAAATATAACAAGATTTTAATTTCATTAAAAGAAATGAGTGTTTTTGGGTCTAAAAATTTTTGGATCGAATTTAACTCTTTTCTAACTCTTTGAGGTTCTTTGAGATTGGGTATCATCATTTATTACTTATTATTATTGCCTTAAACTTACTCCTCTATTTAGTTAATTTGTTATAATTTGCTTTTTGTTTTTCAAAATGCTTTTTTTTGTATTAGTTTCTGAATCTCTTTTTAATGAAATTGATGACTCATCATTATTAGGATTTTATGCTTTTTATGCTCTTGAATTACTACTTAGACTTCTAGCATAACTATCTTTTTTATCTATTTATATTTCAGCACGAATCTTAAATTAAGAATCTTTGTAAGTTTATTTCTTTTAATTTATTTGTTCATCTTTATTTTATGGTTATTCTTAAAATTATAAATTCTAATTGATTTATGGTTGAAGCATATTAGGGATGGTTGTATTAAGAGACAGATTTAAGCTAGGATTAATTGAAATAGATTAACGATTTGCACTACTACTATTAAATGTAGCTGTTTTATGAATGCTAAAATTAATGTTATTTTCTTATAATGCTAATTCTAATTGTTCTAGTGATTCATGATATTCACCCAATTATGAAAGTGGAGGAATCAAAATATTTTACTTATGTGGGTGTTTTCCAATTTACTTTCGTTTTAAAATTGTAGGAACATTGTACTCTATTTAGGGAGCAGAGTTCCTTTACTTTATACAAGATTATACTACTCCCATATAATAAATAAATATTTTAGAGTAATTAAAAATAATTAATTATTTTATCATGGATGATAAATATAATTTTTCATTATATTTTAGATTAAAATCAAGCCTTAAATTGAGATTTCTAAATATTTATTTGAATTTCAATGTATTATATTAAATAATATTTTATGAACTTCATAAATCATTATGGTTTACTGGCATTATTAATCCAATTATTAATTTCGTTAATCTTCTCTTACAACTCAATATCACTCAAATCTAGTTCCTCTCCTACAGTGCCTAATATTTCTTTCAACACTTCATCCATAGGTCTCTTGGCAAATTTAAGAGTGTGATTTGTTGCTTTTTCTTAATATAACTTTAAATCTTGCATGTACTCAGAAGCAATAGTAGTATCTAAAGGATCATCAGGTTCAGGAGTCATGAGAAGACCTAATAATTTATATTATTTAAATACCATATACAGCTTCAAAAATTTATAGAACTTTTGTATCAGGAGTATAGTTTCTACCTAAAATACTATGACATATTCTTCCCTGACTATTTATATTACAATGATAAATAGATGTTAAAAATCTTAGATCAGGTGGTTGTAATGGGAATTCTTAAGGAAATTTCATATACAAAATATAAATCCCACCTGAATATGGAGTTTATTCAGGACCAACCATAATTATTTTCCAGAATGAAACATCATGAGTGCAAGGGAACACTTTAACAAAAGGATGAGGTTTTTATTCATATGTCATCAATTCTTTCATCACTCTTTTTAAATAATTATGAGGAGCAATTAAATTAAGTTATTATGAATCAGAACTAATTCTTCTAACTAATTATTTAGGATTGATAGATTATTTTTTTAATTCTAATGGTAATTCAAATTCTCTAGGTTAAACATCAAATTATATTGTTTTTGGATTTTATTAGAAAATTGCACTAATTTAAGCATTTGTTAATGGTTCCTATGATTTTCTTATTTTAGCTGATAAGATTGTTTCATACTCAAATAATTTCAAACCTTCTTAAATTGTTTTAGGACAGAAACATTATCCACCTGCAGCCTTTGTGATTTATTTTAAACCATCACATTTATCATAGACTACAAAAGAATCAAGAATAATCTAATTTTAAACAATTGTTTGTGCAATAAATTCTGGACTATATTTACCTTTATTATCTTCTCCATCAGTAAGTGCAATAATTCTCAATATACAATTTGGATACTTTTTTTTAAATTATAAAAGGGAATCAACAGCATTTTTAAGAGCCACATATAAAGCTGTCATACCTTATGGTTTAGCTTTATTAACTAGATCCTTAAATTACATGAAAAGTTCTGTATAACCACATTTCAAAATATATCTATCATCAAAATATGCAAGAGAAATAACATTCTTAAGATTATATGCCATAGTTCTATCAGCAAAAGCATTGAAAAATGCTTTAACAACTCCTAATCTTGTCAAATCTTCACTTTTATAGAATTCTTCATCCATTGAACCAGAAATATCAATTAATACAATAATAGCTTCTTCTGGTTCAATAGTTATCTAAGTAACTAATTAAATAGATGAATCATCATCATCCTCATCATCTACAGGAGTACTTTTATTTGGTAAGACTTAATTATAAGCAATTTAATCAGGATTTTCAGGTTATTCCATACCAGATAATGGATCAAATAAATTAACAGGTTTGGCTACATCTTTATTCATAGATGTATATATAACTAATTACTTTTATGAATTCTTAGTAAGAACAGGAGCAACAGGATGTTATTTCAATTCAACTGAACTATAAATCTTTAAAATGTTTATTTTTAAATCTTCATTTTTATGCCATTCAGCTGGTATTGCTTAAAGTTCTCTGTTGTCTTTTAAATCAGTTTAAGGTAACCATATAAGATCTTCTTTTTCTAAAAATTTAACTATCTTAAATTATTCAGTTAAATTAGGATCTTAAATTAATTGTAATTCAGAAAATAATTTTCCATTAGCATGTTTTTCTTGTGTTTCTTATTTACCTTTTAAAATATTGTAATCTACTATCTAATAAGCATTTATATCATCATTTTAATTTAAAGATAGAAAAGCTGGATTTTCTATGGGACTTAATGTAACTTAACAAGCATAATCTATATTTCTATAAATTTCAACTGGTTTAATGTCTGCTTCTTTATATTTAGCTGCTTCATTATGTAAAAATTGAATCCATTATCTTGTATACTCAAAAATAGATCCAATATCAAATGTAGCAGGTACTTAAGAACTTTAAATAATTAAATCAAAAAATAATCTAAGAAAGCCTTCTTCAAAAGCTATACGAGCATTTTAATTTAGTCTATATTTTCTAAACAAACAAACACAAGCTAATGTAAGTGCAGGATTATTTGAGTATTATCTAATGGTATATGTCCATTTTGGTTGATCTTCCTTAGCAAATAATACTAGCATATTGCATCTAAATTATCTGATGCCATCATCACTCTACTTTACATAATGATTTAACCAAGGCATATAAAAATTATAATTATAACTATCAGCATGACCAACTAATTAATTTAATTTAAATGTTAAATTCAAATTTGAATTGTTTTAAATATTATAATCTTTAAGTAATAAGGTATCTGTGAGTAATTTACCACCATAATTTAAAGTTTAAACATTTGTAGGTATATTGAGTTTATGATATAATTTTTATTTTAATTATAATACAGTTGTTGTTTCAATATCTACTTTAATTACTTTTGGTCCTTAATGAAGAATAAAAATTTGATCTTTTCCTTCTTCAGAATCAATTTTAGGAAATGATTTATCTCCAGCTGAACATTTTGTAATTATAGCATAGAAAACCTTACTTTAAAGTTTGCTAATTGTATCATCAACAGTCTTTTGATGAAGTTAATTCATATTATTAACTAAAGGTAAACCACTTAAACTATATAAAATAGCATGATTCTAATCTTAACTTAATTAAAGTTGATTGCAAATCTTTACTGATACATTGTATAAAGTATCTTCTAATGAACAACCAAAATTATATTAAATTGTCTAATCTTCAGCTTATAAGAACTTAATGCTTATCTCTATATCACTTTAGATTTATTAAATTGAATTCCATTATGAAGTATCTAAATAGAATTTCCTTTTTAATTAATTTTTACCAATTTCATCCATCATACCATCATCTATTTATTAAGGCTTATACTGAGGTTAAACAAGATTTTTAACTTATTATGATGATTGAGGGGATTATATTTATTATTAAGGAGGTATTGTCTATTATTATTATTATTATTATTATTATTATTATTATTATTATTATTATTATTATTATTATTATTATTATTATTATGTTGATTAAGTATTTAGTTAAGATCCTATACTCAAATTAGAAGTTTTAAGGGGATCTAAAACCGATGTTGATAAAGATTAGTTGAAAACCAAATTTATTAGTTCATTGTTTGAACATAAGTCTTCAACTAAATCTAAATCACTTAATATAAAGTTAGTTTAATCTGTCAGATGGTATTATGAAGGATCAAAATTACTTGGCAATGTATTCTTAATATTTTCAGGCGAAATCTATTTAAAATATTATCATTACTTTATAAAAGGCTTCTAATCTTTGAACACAAATTTGCTTTAATTAATCAAATGTCTTTTAATTAGAAGCATCAAAAGCGATTTTAAACTTAACCTATTAAGAGAACTAAATATTTAGAACCAATTTGTTCATAATCTTTTTATTATTATACAAATTTAATATTAATTATTAAAGAATTAGTGTACTCAATATGTTCTGATAAAATCCGAATCTAAATAAATCATAAAAAAATTGGGCTCGTTCGGGAATTGAACCCGACCTACTTGCACCCAAAGCAAGCGTACTACCGATATACTAACAAGCCACTAATTGGTATTTTATTTGATGTTCACAATTTATACAGCTTATTACATTTTAAGACTGAACATTAAAATAATAATCATTATATTTAATCTTGATAATTCAAAAACTAAAAAGGATATTAATTTACGATTACATTCATAATTATAATTAAATAATAAGAATAAATTGAGAAATACAACAAATTAATTTAATACTTATATGAAATATTAGATGTAACAATTGAAATTCTAAAATAATTGATATTAAATATAAAACCTTAATTAAAAAAAAATTTCAATAATAATATATTCCTAAATTTTTTTTAATATATTTTTAGCTTGCTGCTTTAGGAGATCTAAAAATTCAATTTTTTAATTGAACTATAAAGTTACTCAATTATCAAAATTTATTTATAGCAAAATGAATGTTAAAAGAATCATTAATGTATATAATTTTAAATTTTAGAGTTCACAGGAGGCATCCAAATTAGGGAGTTCCTTCTAAAGATTTATTTTTATATTTTTTATATTTCATCAGAGTCTATTACTTAAGATTGTCCAAAATCATATAATTTATTTGTTTCAACATTATCTCTAATATTTCTAATTTTATTATCCAAGGCTTAATTGAATTCTGAAGATGCAACTCTGTCTATCAAAATTATCTTTTATGTAATCTCTTTTGTTTCAATTTTGTTTAGTTCTATAATAACCTATTAATGGTTATAAATAAGATAAAATATAAGAAATGAATACATATCTTAAACAACCAAATTTTATTTGTAGATATATTAATAATAATAATAAAATCAGTATTTTTGTAATTCCTTAATGATGAATTCATTCCACTCCTTTTATCTACTAATATTTTGACTATGATTTGTCTCTTCATCATACCTTCTTTCTAATGAGAGATACTCTTAGAATGTATCTTAAAAGATTTATGTAGATTCAAGTCGATAGTTCTTAGTAAATTTAGATTTCTCAGCTCTATAATAAGTTATGTTAATTATACCTTGCTTTGAATTCTAAAGCACATAAACATCCAATAAGATAATGCCCAGTTTCATGTTCCAATAAACGATCCCATTTATTCTTAACCCATGATTTACTATTTAAACAACACCATGCATTAATAGTTAATCTATATCTTATCTTATTGCTATGCTTCATTTTTTTCATGGCAATATCATATGTATAACCAACAGTCCAAAAGCAATGGGCTTTCCATTGTGAATATACATTTGGAGGAGCAGAGAAGAGATCCCAAGTAACTTTCTTTATTTTAACACCATTAATAACAAGAGGTAGGACGGACTTGAAATCATTAAAAGAAGCATAATTCAAAGGATCATCAATCTCATCAATTTCTGATGAAGCATTACTACAGCATGTTGAGAAGTGAGAATTACTATTGCATTATTCATTTTCTGACATTCTACATCAGTATAACTTATGTTATTACTTTTAAGATTATGATCTTTAAGATGTAGAATTAGAAATTGAACATCTTCTAATTATCATTTGTGAAAAATGTCACAAAATAAATAAATTAATTATCAGATCAGATCAAATAAATCTACAAATTTGATATTCCGAATGAATTCTCCAGTGGATCATTATCTAAGGTACTCCCAAAACCCAATTTAATTGTATCTTTCGTATGTGGAAATGAAACATCAATAACCGAAGTCAACTTTCCTTCAGGATATCTACTTCCACATACAGAAATGCCATTCTTTACTTTAGAATAGTCATATTTCTCTGTCCATACATATTCCATTCCATCCATTCTTCCTATGCTGACTCTTAAAAACCCTGTTTCTCCTCCCCATCCATCTATAAAATGATAATTTGCTACAATTCTCACTTTACTATGTTGAGGTAATTCAACAAAGGTTTTCTGAACTTCCCCTCCTGCAAATTTACCATAACCACCCAACATACTGATACCTCCACATGTGGATATTGAGTTATCACTCCAATCTACTGGTTATTACCAATAGTTTTCTTACCACCAAAGCATCCATTAAGGTTGGTTTTTATAGTAAAAATTACCTTGTATTCTCAATGAATGAAAAGAGGCTTTTTCTGCAGATGTATAAAATTCCAAAGGTGATATAGATAATACTATGTCTTCATTAAATGTCCATTTCACAGCTCGATCTATTGTTATACGAGATGTTGAATGAGGAAGACTTATAAATTCTAAAAATGCTGGTGATGAGTCTGTTCCCACTAAACTTAATGAAGCCATTTATAATGCTACTTGTTATGTGATTACTTTTTCATTTGAAATCACTCCTACTATCAATTAAATAAATATTAACATTATTATATAAATAAAAACGATTAACATGCTAATATTATTTCTACTTTTAGGTCTAAGTGTAAATATAGAACTTAAATTTGAAGAGGAAATTATTAAATTAGAGCAAACTTAATTAGGCAAAACATTCTTAGATACAGTCTAAATTGCTGTAAGAAGCAAAGAGCCATTAGATAGAGTCTTTCAAATATTGAGAGATTAAGCATAGTCTTATGAAACAGAATTCCTAACAATTGATGAGAGGCATAAGACTTTCTCATCTAAATGTGCTAAAGATCTAGGAGATTTTGATAATTATGCAGCTTTATTGAAAGCTCGTATTATGGATATGTAATAAGCTTTAGATGATAAAATACCTGAAAAAACAAAAAAAGTTAATACTCTTTAAAATAAAAAGAAAGAAAAGACAATGTTAATTAATAGAATAGATGAAATCTAATAAAATAGAGAGAAATAAAAGTGCATCTTTGAATCTAGACTTGAGTAAATATATATGTATATCAAAGAGAACATTAAACAGCCATATCTGCTGTTGTTGCAGTTAGAGAAATATTTGAGTCTGCTTTGTATGAAAATGATAATGGAGAGACAGCGTTTATTCAACTATAAGAGGATGATGTTGATAAAGTTACAAATTTATTAGGTTATGCAAGTCTTAAAGCAGGTATTCTATGATCTCTAAATAAATAATAGGTGATTTTAAACATTTATAGGGTTATAGTTCATTGTTTACAGTGATGGAACAATTAAAAGTAGGTTAAATTTCTAAACATGAAGAAACTGTAAGATAATTAGTAGAAACTTGCAATGATTTAGAAAATTATATTGATATAGCCAGGAGTCTATTAAGATCAGTGGATGATATCCGAGAATCATATTTCTAAAGATTATACAAAAATTTACATCAAGATCTTAAAGATGTTAATGCAATTATTGAGGAATTAGATTCAGATGTAAATGTTTTGGAAGCCTAAATCAAAGTACTGACTATGGACAGAGATGAAGCTGTATAAAAATAGGATAATAAATTAAAATAAAGAGGAGATAGAGCAGTTGAATGTGAATAAGAAGATACTGTTTATTAGTTCAAATTATAAGAAAAGTAATTTAAGTTTATATTTTATATTAGCTAAAGAGAAAGAGAAACTATTTAAAGGATATTATCATTATGTTTAGAGAATGTTAAAGAACTTAAACATTACATAAAAAGAAGAGGAGATGAATTTAAATGATTATGAAATAAATATATAATTGTATCAACTAATTCAAGATTTTATCACTTATTCTATAGTAAATACTATTATATAATCTAATCTCTCAAGTATAAAGTATTTTTTTGATCATATTATATAAATTATAATTAAATAAGTAGTGAATTAAAGAAATAATGGTAATTTGATTGCATGATAATTAGTTTGGAATTTTCAATTTCTCAACAATGATAGTGATTTTATTACTAGTTATATGTACTTCAACTTATATCAGACAGATGAAACCTGATTTAATTAATTCACATAGACATGGATTTAGAGGATTCTTTAGAAGAAGTGCTGTAATTGGAGTATTTTAACAATATAATAAAATCTAGGATAGATTATCACCATTAGTATCAGGTTTATGTTTTATTATGGGTGCTTATGTGTTGTTAATACGATGATTAATTAATACATGTGTTTAAATTATGTAAGAATTACTTATGAATTTATTTAAAATTATTTTTAAAAATTTTACAATGAAACAAGCCAAACAATAAGGATAAGCACAATATGATGTATTGAAAGGAGCAATTAAAGGTAGTTATCTTTTATATTTCTTCAATTAGGATAGGTATGTACTAGATTTCCACCTGAACCATCTGGTTATTTACATATTGGTCATATAAAAGCATCTGTATTGAATTATAGATATTCCAAAATGTATGAAGGCAAAATGTTAGTACGTTTTGATGATACAAATCCATCAAAAGAGAAGGCTGAATACTAAGATGCAATTTTAGAGGATTTAAAAACTCTTTAAATAGAGTGGGCAAACTTATCACACTCAAGTGATTATTTCGACCTTGCAGAAGAAAAAGCAAGATTTTTAATTAAAAAAGGATTGGCCTATTGTGATAACACAGATAAAGAAACTATGAAGAAAGAAAGATTTGATGGTATTGAGAGTGTTAATAGAAATAAATCTGTGGAAGAGAATCTTGAGAAATTTGATTTAATGTTAAATGGAAAAGCTTTTGATTATTGTTTAAGAGCTAAAATTGATATGAAGGCTTTAAATAAATGTATGAGAGATCCAGTACTCTACAGAACAAACTAAACACCACATCATAGAACAGGTACTAAATATAAGGCATACCCAACTTATGATTTTGTATGTCCTATTTTGGATAGCGTTGAAGGAGTTACACATGCTATGAGAACTAATGAATACTCAGATAGAATAGAATAATATTAATGGGTATAAAAGGCATTAGAATTAAGACCAGTTGAAATTTATGAATTTTCAAGATTGAATTTTGTTAATACTTGTTTGAGCAAGAGAAAACTTTAAGAATTTGTAGATTAAAAGGTTGTAGAAGGATGGTAAGATCCTCGTTTTCCAACTCTTAGAGGTATCATAAGAAGAGGAATTACAATTGAAGCCTTACATGATTTTATGTTAGAATAAGGACCATCAAAAAATGCAAATCTTTAAACTTGGGATAAGCTTTGGGCAATCAATTTTACAAAGATTGATCCTATTGCTCCAAGATATACAGCTGTAGGAAAGGAAGGAATTTCCATTTTAACAATTTCAAATTATTAAGATTAAGGTATTAATGTAGTTACTGTTCCATAACATCCTAAAAATAATGAATTAGGAACAAGACCTTTATTTAGAAGTAGCTAATTGTACTTAGAAGCTTAGGATGCTAAAGATATTAAAGTCGATGAGAAAATTACATTAATGAAGTGGGGTAATGTTAAAATAACAGAAAAAAAGGAAGTTGATGGATAAATCTTATTGACTGGTGAAAACTTACCAGATGATAAGGATTTCAAAACAACCAATAAATATACTTGGCTTGCTAAAGATACTCCAATTGTAAATGTAGATTTGGTTGAATATGATCATCTTATTAAAGTTAAAACAATTGAAGATCATCATGAATTTAAGGATTATTATAATCCAAATAGTAAATATGTTACAGAAGCATTAGCTGATGCTGGAATTAAGACACTCTAAGTTGGTAAATATAATTATTAAAAATTATCTAGGATCTGTATTATAATTTGAGAGAAGAGGATTTTTCAGAATAGATAAAATTGTTGGAGATAAATATGAATTAATTTATATTCCTGATGGTAAAACTAAAGCAGCCAGTATATAAACAAAATTAGATTTGAAATCTGTTTAAACTGGAACTGTGGATGAATAAAAATAAGATTAATAATAATAATAATAATAATAATAATAAGAATAACCAAAATAATAAAAATAATAAGAATAACCTAATCCAGAAAGCAAAAAATAATAAAAAAAATTAGAAGCTGAGAAGAAGAAAGCAGAAAAAAAGGCTGAGAGACAAGCAGCACAATAAGCAGATAAAAAAGAGTGAAATAATATTAATAATTATTATTTATATAAAAGTATATAAATCTATATTTAACTCAATATGGATGTATAACATATAATAAATCATAATCTGTTCTATTACCAAATTTCATTTTTACATACTTATTTTCTTTCCAAATATCCATTTGATTAGTGTATAATTTACTAAAAGGATTACCACTTATTCCTGTATCAATTACAAAGAAATTAGATTCATCAGAATCCATTGATATAATTTATTTATAATTGGATCCTGTTTTACCATTAAATGATCCATCTAAATCATAAGATGATACTGCTACTGATCTTCTGTTTGAGTGATAAGGTATTTTTCTTTCAAAAATGAATGCGAAAGGTGTATTCGAAAATGCATGAGGAAAAACTTAATTATGTAATGATCCCCATTTCCAATCTTTTGTTTGATTTCCAAATTTTTCATGTATAAATTATCTGGCTTCTCTTAATGATTCAACTAAATTTTAAGCACATTTATCTTGAACTGAACCATTACAATATGGTTAATTAAGAATTTAATCATTAGGTTATGCATTATTCATATCAATCAGATTTTTAAAATGGAATGAATCAAAAATATAAAAATTATTCCATTGTTTGATTACAGCTTCATCTAATTGAGAGTGAAATTTAAATGAATAAAAATATTCAAATACTCCATATAATAAGGCACCTGAAGACTCTGAATCCCATTTACAAGTCCAATTTTCTAATATTACTATTTCATTTATTAATTCATTATTTTTATCATATTTTTTAAGTAATTAAATTAATTCATCTTTAGTCATACAAGCATAACTATCATATGTATCTGATTATAATTTTATGTGATCTAAAACAGAAAATTTCTATCCTTTATTAATCATTTAATTTATTAAATCATTTATTCTTCTTCCTCTACTTGTTGGTTGTGAGTTCCAACTTAATTCATTATCTGGTATAAATTTATTATTTGCAACTACAATATAACCTTTTTCAGGATCAATAATCATAGGAATTTCTTTATATGGTACATATCTAATCCATTCTTTATTATTTTTCTTAACATATGCATTTTCATCTGGATGTCCCTCTTTTATTACTAATCTTCCTGTTGATAAATAACCAATATGGTTGTCATGACTAATGAATACCATTCCATTATTTGGATAAGAGATATGTTTCAAAAGTTCCATACTTTACTTTAAGTCCTTTCCTTAAGCAAATTTAATAAATCCATCAAAGGATTCATAATCATCTATATGAACTATAGATTATAAAGAATAAAAATGTCCATTATGATCTCTTAATTTATTATTTTCTATATAGTATTACATAATAGGGCCATGATGAGTATTAAAAATAGTAATATATTAATCTTCTTACCCTTTAATTTTAATGATTTCTACTGTTTTATTACAAGGAATCCATTAATTATTGAATTTATAGAATAAATCTTCTTCATTTTTTTTTATTATTTCCTCTTCATATATATCACCTCCATCAGAATATAAAGTAGTCAATCCCCAACCTAAATATTTACTTCTTCCACTCATACAAATTGGTAATCCAGGTAATGTTCCACCTATGATATAATTATATTCTTGGTTATCCATCTAAAAATATATTTCAGCCTAATACCATTAAGATGGTATGTTATTATCTAAATGTGGATCATTTGCTAAATGTGGTTTTCCACTTTTGGTATGATTACCACTAATAACCCAAGCATTAGATGCTTTAAGAGTTGGGAATATATAATTGGAATAATATTCTGGTATTGATTATAAAATATCTGTTATATTGTAATTAGTTTTAGTTTTATTTTCAGTATTCTAATTATTATTAGTATTCTATCCAAACTTTTAATTGTATGATACATTGTTGTTTTATATAAATTGATTCCATTCATTTTATTAAACTTCTGTAACATCTGAATCAAATTAGTTATGTGGTCCAACTGAACCTATTATATTTGCTAGTTCTCTTCCATACAATTCATCAAACTTTGATCTCATAAATTCATGAAACATATCATTTACATTCAATAAAGACATTAATTTAATGAATGCTACAGTGTCAAGTATTTACCAATCTTGAAATTATACTCCTAATATTTTAAATTCAATCGGTAATATTTATAAGGATTTCACTCCATCATTTATACCATTTGCATAATATTATAAATGGATTCTTGCTTCTTCACTTAATTTTTCAACTATTCTTTTACATGATTCAAGATATCCTAAATTTCTAATATATTTGTCTATATTTAAAATTTCTTAGCGATATCCAAAGATTTCACTTAATCTACCTTATGATGACATTCTAAATTATTGAAATTTATAGATTACCTTCTTAAATGTAATTACCATAATCTATCTTAAGCATGTACAAATCCTAATCCATAGAATCCTTCTTTTAAGGATTTTGCATGTATATGGGGAATACCAAATTGTTTATCTCTAAATATCCTATAATAATTTCATTTCTATTTAATACTTTACATCATTGTCTATATTTTAGGATGACCATTCTCCTTTATATTCTGGAATGCTTTGATAAATAAAGACAAAAGATGATAGAATCACAATGATAATTGTAGAAATTATGATTTTCCCAAACATTATAATTAATCATTAATTTACATATACAGGAATGTGGCGTTCTGAAAATTTTTTTGCTTTAACTTTAATATTCTCAACTATTAGTGGTTGAACATCTCTACTATTGATGGGTTCATCATTTGATTTGAATTAAGGTAGAATAGCTAAAATAATGGAGCCATTTTAATAATGGGAAGATACTTCCCTAATTTGAACTCTTGTAAAAAAAGCAGTTCCTTTAATAAGAGGCACACACAAATGACCTTTCAATATCTATTCTCCTTTATTATTAACTTTGATTTCCTTGGGATATTGTTCTTATGAATATATGGCAACAACAAGTTCAATTTTATTAGGATTTTTAACAAGATCTCCACTCTTATTTTTTAGTTCGACTCTTAACTAGAATATACGATCTCGATAAAGTGGAGTTTCAAGGGAGTCTGCTAAAGTTAATTTGTATTTATATTGCTTCTCCAGTAACTAATACATTAAAAAATAAGAATTACAGATCTTAAATTGAATTATATATGTAATTAAGAATGCGTGTACAACTCATCATTTCTTTTTATCTGAATTTATGAGCAAGAAAAATCTTGACGGCCTTAGACTAGTTTATTATTGATCGTTTGAAATTTTTGCAAATAGTCTTAAAGTAGATTATTGAATTTGTCTTAACTTTAACTCAACTGATCAAGCAATGTCTTATAGGCATCTACTTATTTGTCTAACAAATCAAAAAATTGTTATTATTAAGATAAGATGTTCTGCATGACCTTTTGAGAGAAAATAATTTATATATTTATATAATGAATATTAGTACAATCTAAATTCAAATATAAATGACCTTTTCTCAAGGTTATAAAACTAAAGGATTAATCCACTTAGCTTAAATTTATTAGATATGATGAATGTGAGTGTTTTGATTAGGGGATTAAAATCCATTAAAGGGAGAATCTAAAATAGAGATAGAAAAATACTCTCAATAGATCTAGTTCTTCCAGTAATGACTGGGGTTCTCATGATTATTTTAAGTAGATCATTCTTTTCTTAACTCTAATCAACTTTCAAATCCTCTGTCTTGCAAATATCATTTTCATCATTAGATCTTTTCAATCTTTCCATATCCAATCTAATATATTCTGCATTCAATTTTATAAGCATTTCACCCAAATGTGGATCATCATCAGTATACATCTAAGCAAACTCTTCTTCATAAAAAGCACAAAAGTATTCATGTTTTAATGCCTATTTAGAAGTAATTCTTTATTCTGGATCTGCTTAAAGCATCTTAATCAATAAGCTTCTTTAATTATCTGACACTTAATTAAGTTTTTCTGTTTGAAAATCCACAATGGCTTCTCGATTCCTCCTTACAATAGTATTATAACTCTTTCCCTTGAATACTGGTTGTCCTGTTATTAAAATATATAAGATCACTCCTAACGAGTACATATCACAAACAGAACCATAAAATAATTAGTCATCCTTTAAATTTATAACTTCCGGAGCAACAAATCCAGGAGTTCCACACTTTGTATATAGAAATGGTTTTTAATCAACATTAGTTGCTAATCCAAAATCAGCTATAACAACAGAATCGTAATTACTAATCTATATTAACATTATCTTACTCTGGCTCTTTGAATAAGATATTTTCTAATTTAAGATCTCTATGCATTATTCCCATACTGTGAATATAATTCAATCCTTCTAATAATCCTTTCATAATTGAATGTATTTGTTGAGCACTAAATGATCTTTTCATTTTGAATAATCCATATAATTGATCTCCTTCTAATAATTCCAAACACATATAAATAGAATTTTAGGTTTCATAAACTTCATAGAGCTTCATTAAATTTGGATGATCAAGAATTCTCATTATTTGAATTTCATTAATTAACCCATCCTAACTTGTTTATTTTCATACTTACCTTTCCATTCTCTTCCTTATAAACTGCATTCTTACAGAAAGCCTTAACAGCCATTCTTGTTCCATCTTCTATTCTCTATGCTAAATACACTGATGCAAAGCTTCCCTTCCCTATTTTCTTGTACACCTTAAAATACTAATGAAATCCTGTCTAATTCATTTTCTTTCCTAAAAACTGTCTCAATTACTCCAAATCACTCACTGATCCTCTAAATTCACTCCATTTCTCAACATTTTCCCTAATAAATCTTATAGCAAGTATTTCTCCCAGAGATATAACATTCTCCCCTTTATTTTCAGAAAGTGACGGGTTTACTAATAAAGGTGGAGTTCTTAAAACATAAAACTTATATTCAAAGTTTATTGGTAAATATTTGTAAGGTTTTGTTAAATCACCATCCTAATTATATAAAAGTTTTTGTTACTTTAAATAGCATTATCTATTTATCTGTGCATTGTACGTATACAAAATGACAATTCTTACCTGATTTCAGTAGCTTTAAACATAAACCCTTAATACAATTAGAATAGTTTTAGTCTACTTTGTTCCAAATTCTTTAATTATACATAATATTTATGGAGTTGATGTTTTAGGATATAAATATATTTTATAAGATATCAAAAAAGAAATTAAAGGTTTTTGATAAAAACTGCTCATATATATGAATGATTTTAATATCATCTGAAACCGGGTCTAAATCCTGATCCAATTTGGCTGTTTCCCAATTGAACCATTTCGGTTTTTTTAACAAGAGGAACCTCATCAATTTAGTTAGCAAATACAATGGCTTCACCCAAACCTAATGATAAACTTAATTTAATTACAATGTGCCTTATCAATACCAACACTTTCAGTTTCTGAATCTATTCTAAGTACTCCAAATCCCTTTAAAATAAGTAATGTAATCAAAACAAAGAAGGCAACCCATACAAATATGATCAATAATCCCAACAATTACATTCCTAATAATTTAGCACCAAATCCATAGAAAACACCTGCTTTAGTATCAAAGAAGGCTGATAAAAAGATTCCCAAAAATCCATTACCCTAAAATAAATGCATTATAATACCAAAAATACAGGTACAACTTCAACAGGATCATCAATATGTACTTTTGGAATTACTTTTGCTAAAACACTATAAAAAACTGCAGCCAAAAGACCATAAATGAATGCAGTCCATGGTTTCATATCATCAGTAGCAGCACTTACAGCCACTAAAGCACTAATTATACCTCTAGATAAGGCAACTAAACTTGTGGTTTCATTTTAGAAATATCTAATGATGAAGGCGAAGAATCCACCTGTTGCTCCAGCAATCAAAGTATTGACAGCAACTAATCCTTATGTATATTTAGAATTAGCTCCTTATGCTACAATACCACCATTATAGAATAACCATCCAGCAAAGACTAAAATTGATCCAAAAGCAATATAAATTGGAGAATGTCTTTAGAATTATAAAGTTGTATTTGGATCAAATCTAAATCTTCTTGGTTTCAATAATACTGTAACAACTAATCCAGCAACACCTGCAGCGAAAAATACAACACCAGCTCCTGAGAAATCTTTATATCCCAAAGTTGTTAACCTAATTATTTTCTCATTTAATCAATACCATCCTTTTGCTAATGTCCAATGTGCTAATCCAGAATATATGAATCCTGCATATACTATAGCTAATATTGACCATGCTAAGAATGTCATTCTTTCTGCTGCTGCTCCAGATAACACTGATACGGCAATTGCTGCACCTGATGCTCTGAAGACTAAACAAAATTTGAATATTAACAGAAATACCAAAGTTTGTATAATCATTTCCGTATTGATTTGCTTCCCAATTTGATCCTCCTAATTTTGTACCTCCCATAAAGTTTGTTTAGAAATCATATCCAAATGAGAATCCATATCCAAACTATATTTATTAACTTCTATTATTACCAACCACCATATTAAAATTGTCAAGAATAAACCCAATATCACTTTTATGACTATTGATTATGAATTCTTATATCTCACTGATCCTGCTTCAATAAATGCAAATCCCACTTATGTCAATACGATAATGAACCCTGAAATAAGAACCCAATCGTAATCAATAGTTGATGCTTAAGGTGCTGGAATATTTGCTATTGCAGGTGCTGTTGCATATTCAAAATAAATATTTACCTGCTTATCCATCTTAATGTCTAAAAAGATGACCCATATCTTCCGTTATTTAAATTTTTAAAATAAATTTATTTCATAACTAACTAATACAGACCCTATATAATATTAATAAAATAAAGTTCTCTTGTTAACTTCTAATGATTATTATCTTTCATCAATAGAAATTATATATTCATATTATTACAATTATATATTATGAAATATCAAGATTTAAGTGTATTCTAATTACTTTTACAATATTAATAATTGATGAAAATAAAGTTGTTAAATTTTATTTATGTTTTAGATAAATTTAATTAGAAATAAATTATAACCAAATTAATAATGCAACAAATACCTAAAATAATGCGGGAAATGATTATGACATTATCAAACAACTATTTTAACGAATCATGATTAAGTCCTTATAAAAACTAAAATAATTTAAATTCAGCAATTCAAATTAAAACTATCTTTAAATGGCGGTGCTTTCTATTAGATTCGTTACTCTAAATGCGGGTAATAATTGTTTGCTATTTTATATATAAAAATTTGAATTTAAATTCAGAGGGAAAATTCATATAACAAATGAGCTCAGAATTTATATAAGATGGAACTCCATTTACAAAATTGTTTTAAAGATTAGAAAAAATTCATAAATCTCCAGTTTTTAATGCTGAATGTATTCACAACCAAGATGAAATATATATAAAAGACTAATCACCTGAATAAGTATGTAAGAAATTAGAGTTTACACCATGTTTAAAGTCTCCCAATTAGTACTCTATTATATAAATCAATTTTAGATTTTAACCTTATTCTCCATTAAATCATTAAACAACAAAAAAAGCTAATATATTTATAATATCACCAGCAAGATAAATAAATTTCGATCACACTAAGACAGAACAACGACTTGTGAATATCAGTTCACCACTTAGTTCTCTTAAAGTTCCAAATGATTTATTATGTGAGGAAGAAGAAATTTTATCTGATGACTAAGATATTCATTCTTAATTTAGAAGTCCCCCTAAATCTCCACATAGAAAATTAGAAAGAGCCACAAAATTGAAATTCATTAATTTTGTTACACTCAAGAAACCTCTCAAATTTACTAGTGATTAAGTTAATAATAGAAAGAGGACTAGCTCTAAAAGAAGAAAACCATTAACAGAATAGAAACCTAAAATTATAGTTTGTAATTGTAAGAAATCAAAATGTCTAAAATTATATTGTGATTGTTTTGCTGCTGGAGTTCCATGTGGAAAAGATTGTAATTGTTGTTCCTGTCATAATAATGATGATCATACAAAAGAAAGAGAAAATATAATTTAATAAATTATGGAAAGAAATCCATAAGCATTTCGACCAAAAGTTGAATCTAGAGTATTATAAATATATAATTTATAGAGTAATTCTGAAGATGAAATAGATCAAAAGCCTAGACATTTTAAGGGATGTAATTGTAAGAAATCAAATTGTTTAAAAAAATATTGTGAATGCTATTAAATGGGAGTAAAATGTTCTGAATTATGTAAATGTGATGATTGTAAAAACTGTGAAATGCCAATTAAAAAAGAATCAAGAAAAAGAGTTAAACATACACATTCATGTTTTAAAAATGTAGAGATTTATTGATTAACTGCTTTTATTTTTGTTTTTTTTCATATAAATTTTAATAGTTCACATTCAAGCTAAAGCATTTAAATTTATATTTAATTAATTATTCAATATATAGTTTTTATATTTCAAATATATTTCCATTAAATATACTATGAACTTGTAAATGGATATGGATAAAAATACTAATTTGAACTTTATGAATTTTAAACTGTCATATAATTTTAATATGTATGATTGAAATATGATTAAAAATATAATTGAGATTAATTAATATTTGCATTTTAGGCATATTATTAATAAATGTTTTATTAGATCTATTACTAAACATATTAATCTTCTTCTTTTTTTACTGAATTTTCAAATTAATATGTAGTTGTTTATAAAGGTTTATTATCTATATTAGGAAATTATTCAATCTTAACTTTTTGAACAACTATATTATCAATTTATGATTAAGATTATGTTTTTGTATTGATAGAATTTTTATTCTTTGAATTTTATTTCTAAGATTTTTAGTAAAGCTCTCCATATTACAAAATAAGCTATTGTAGATCTTCTATTTAAATAATATTAGCAGGTAAATAACATTGTTGTGTATAAATCTCATAGCAACCATTTTCTAATTATTAAATTAGTTCCATCGCCTAGGATAATAAGGAATAGTACTTTTTTTTATAGTATATTATCTTCATTTTAAAGTGAAATTAATAACTTAATCTTCTTTTGGTTTTCCACTTTATTTATGATATTGTTTAAATGAATTTATATAGTAGTCACAATATTAGTTTATTAATAAAATAATTATTAATCAACAAATATTTTAATTAAACTAGAGAATCTTAATGCCAAAAATATTGGATGTTTAATTTTATTTCTGATATTTGAGGCAGTAAAATAATTAATAAATCCTATAATTGAGTTTTCTATTTTGATCATCTTTACAGACTTATTTTTTGTTTCTCTTTTTGTAATTATAGAATAAAGTAAGTCGTAATGGAATAATTCTGTAAAGGATGGTTAATGAATAGGAATATTGTGAAATCTAGCAAATTTTCTAGAATCCACATAGATTTCAGGAGATATTATCGAACTCAGGACTATGTTTTAATCATTTACTGGGGAATATAACAAAATAATCATTAAATGGAATTTCTTATGCTAACATTACTATATGAATTTATACATCATTATTATAAGATGTTGTTGTAAATTTTAGGCATCTAAAGTTGACCTATTGGTCTATTATTTATTTTTTTGATTCTCCCTTAATACCTAAATTTTTATATTATAATGGCTTTTCTAAAGCTTTAACCGCAAAGATTTACACAAATAAAGTTCCTTATTACAACTTAATTTAGTTAGGCAGTGACTATTAAAACCTAAGAATGTAAATACATTAATATTATATTCAATTTCAGGCAAATTCCATGATTTATGCCAACTCCAACCTGTTTCATCATTGTAATTTAGTTATTTCTTTATTGAAACAGAAGGGTGGATTTCAATTTTCAATTCATTAAGAACATCTTTCTGTTAAGGTACAAGATCAATCTACATATTCTCATTCCCTTAACTTATCAAAACTCCAGAAACATGAATCCAATTAAATTCATTCTACCAGTTACTGTTCATGATGTCGGATTGTTTAGTTTTTAAATTTTAAGATTACAATAAATACAAATAAATAAATGGTTAAGTATTAAGAAATAAAGTTAATGAGATTTTATTTTCTAAGTCATTAATTTTATTTGAATAACAAATTAATAAACCTTAGTTAATAAATTAATAACACTACTTATTAAGAAAGTATAAATTCTTTTTTCAGCGATTTAAAAATGATATACAATAATTTATAATGATGAATTTTGTGTAGTATTATGAAAATTATAAATCTTATTATCTGAATTTGTTTACAACCATTTAATTTCAAAAATTAATTATTAAGTCTATAAAATAAATTCATAATTTCGATTACATTATTTTTTATAAAAAATATAATATAGTATGGACAAAATTGAATATAAGTAATTGCATTCATTTTTAAAATATTTAAAAGTTAAAAAATAAGATATTTCTCATAGAATACGAATTTAATCTATTGTTTTAAATTAATACAATTCAGAACAATATTTAAGTTATATTGATTAAAAAGATTATTTAGAATTAAGATTTTATTTATAGAAATTACGTAATATTAAATTTATATTAAAACCTTAAAAATGTATTAAATTTATTTATAAATTGAGACAATAGTAACTGAAATTAGAGCAATTATAAAGCAAATTTGAATAATAATTGCTAAAATAACATTACGGATAAAGTTTAAACATAGAGTGATATTTTGACTTTATTTAATGATTATAAATCTAATCAAATCTTTATTATTTAATTAAGACATTATCAGAATATTTCACAATTTTGAGATACTAAATTTTATTATATTATAAATACCTATTTAATATAAATGTAATTTAATTCCATCACTAGCAGCAATTATTTTTCCATTCTATAATGTTGTTAATAAATGAGCTGGTTTTGAAGCATTAACAATTAATTCTTTACCCTTTTCTTCATTTAATTTACTAAGATCACCATCTACTTATATTGACCCTATGAATTTTTAACTCACCCATACAAGGTAAATATCTGACATTGTTAAAGCTAAAGGTATTGTTTTGTTATGAATTTGATATATTTAAACTAAATTTATTATACCTTATATTATTGTATTTTAATTACCATCTTTAATTTAAAACATAGGAATTTCTGATTAGTCTTTTGTTGTTCCTGTAAAATACTCAGATGATATCAAGATTAAATTAGTCAATTAGGTTTCATAAATATATTTAGCTCTATATGATAGGAATATATAATTACGATTATTCATATGCTAAATATTTACAAAAGATAACTGAATTTTCATGTGTTGATATTATATATTTGACTTCATCATCATATACTAAATCTAAAACTGCTCTATCAACTTCTTTGTATTTTTTAATTACACATGGAGGTTAAGTATCAAATGCTAATATCATAATTTCTCCAAACTTTGTTCCCAATATACAGAGATCCTTCCTCATATATTTCATAACCTAAAACCTTATACAATAATTCATACAGTTATTGTATCATATTGAAAATGTATGATTCTTTCACAAAGAAATGATTTATTTTTTAGATTTATTCCAAATATTTCTCCAGACATTGTTAATCCTACACAAATATCTAGTGAAGGAAGATAAGATAAATAAATAACATCTATATTTATAATATATTAATACGTTGATTAAAAATCCATTCTACTGTACCTCCAATTGAAATAAGTCTTACACCTTCTTTTGAATGAGACAGAATTTGATTTCCTGCTGATATAATCTTATCATGATAATGTTCATCATTCAGAGTTCCTAAAAATTTAAGTGTAGTATTTTCATTTGAATAAGATTATATAACCTATTACTTTTTTTACTCATTAGATTATATTGGTTTCTGGATCTATAGTTTCTCACTAAATTTATTTGTTAATTTACTCATCCTTGAAATCAGGATCTAAAGTAGTTAAAGCTTAGAACCATGTAAATCGATTTCTTTCACTAAATTCTGTCATTCCATATATACATGCTTTAATAGAAGGATGTTTAATAATATTTATATGATTTTATAGTTTTTTCCATCCTTAACAATCTTTTCTCAAAGCAAATTCTTCACTTGTATCAATAGGCTCACCAGTTTTATCATCATATATAATAGGATCATTTAATTTTGACAAATCTCTATCATTAAGTAATAAGATCATTTGTAAAAAAGTTATACCCAAAGAAAATACATCACTCTTTTCTAAATCATGTCTTTAATAGAATATATTATACTTCACTTTTCCAGGTTAATTTAAAGAATAAGCAACATATAACTTGGGTGACAAAAATAAAGGTGTCCCTACTAAAGTATTTAACATTGCTTATCCATGAAAATTCTCTTTCCCAGCCCCAAAATCAGCTAATTTTACAGTATATGGTTATAAACTTGTAACTAATATATTCTCTGGTTTTATATCTCTATGAAATAAATGTTTATTCTTTGCCAAATAATGAAATGCTCTTAAACATTAATTCATTATATCTATTATCAACATATCTAATATAAATAATAAATATTATAAACCTCCATATTCTTTTGATGTTTTTCTTCTTTCTTCTATATCCTATCTAAGACTATTTATTGCTAATTCCATTGCAAACACTAATACAAATTTTCTAAACGGCATTTCATCTTTCCAAGAATAAACTTTGTAAACCTTAATAACGTTCTAGTGATACGTTATTGCTGAATACAAATTTAATTCTTAAATAGCCAACTCATAAGCCTATTCGCTAAGCTATAAAATTGTATACCTTTATGTTTCAATTATTTTCAAAGCATAATACCCTTGAGGTAAAGATTTTACAGCCTTAGCTTTAAAGACCTTTCCAAATGTTCCTTAACCAAGTAAAACTGAATTTTTAAAATCAAAGTCTTCTTAAAATTCAATTTAGGTTGAAAACTATTACATAATATAATTTATATAGTTAATTTTTGTAAATAAATATTGATATATAAATCTTCTTACTTATCATATCCTTTAATATAAGACAAAGTTTTAAGAATTCTTTTATAAGACTTAAAAACTCTTATAAATGACTTAGTTAAATTTATTGGAGTATAAATAAGATTAAAAACATTTAAAAAAATATAGTAATAATTATCTGCTAGAAAATAATATAGTAATCTTAAATTGATGAATACTAATATAATAAAAAAGAGAGAATATTATATATTATTTTTTTTAAATATCAATGGATAAATTGATTGGTCATTATAGATTTAATATGAATCATCTTATAGGTAGGGGAGCTTATGGCTCTGTTTTCAAAGGTAAAACCTAATAAGGATAACCAGTGGCAGTCAAAGTGATAGACAAAAGAATGATTAATAAAGTAATATGAATAAATTTGATCATTTTAAGGAGAATGAAAAACACTTAAAAAACGAAGTAGAATCAATGAGGACTTTAAATCATCCTAATATTGTGAAATTTTTAGATTATTATGAAACACAAAATAATATATATATCATATCCGAATTTTGTGATGGTGGAGATTTAAGAGATTTGATTAAAAGAGGTAAATAAGATGACAACTTAGTAATAAGCATATTGTAGCAAATTTTAAATGGGTAAAGTCTAACATTATTGTTAGATATCGAGAGTTGTAAAATAAATCTATAATCCATAGAGATTTAAAACCAGCTAATATCTTAATACATTAGAACGTTATTAAAATTGCAGATTTTGGGTTTTCTAAACGAATCAATTTTGAAAATGATTTAATGAATAGTGTAGCAGGAACTCCTTTATATATGGCACCATAGACAGTGCTTAGATAACCTTATTGTTCTAAATGTGATATTTGGTCTCTTGGGATGATATTATATGAACTTATTTTTTAAAAGCCTCCTATTAAAGCATAAAATGTATTAGAATTATAAGAATAAATCAAATTACCAATTATTGTACCTAAAATTGACAATTAACTTCTGTAGGATTTAATATAAAAATGTCTTTAAGTTAATGAAGATGAACGTATCAGTTGGGATGAAATTTATAATCATGAATTGTTTTGTTAAAATGATTATTATATGCAATAAATACAAAATATTGAAGAAGAAAAAGGTTAATAATTGAGTGAATCTTAATCAATAAGCAATCAAAATTTATTGGAATATTAAAGACTTATGATTAAAAATTATCTAGAAATTGAATTTGAAAATAACTAAAAGTTGTATTTAAACATCATTAATACAACAAGAAGTCTTTATAATTTTAGCATATTTGTGAATGCATAATAAAGATAATATTAATATGCTTAACAATTAGCATAATATCTTCAAGGTTGTGCATTTTTTCATCTTAATCTTATTGATTAATCTATTTTATTTAAGGAATTCGATAAATTTATATTAACAGAAAGTGGATAATATTGTCTTTAATAGCTTTAATTTTTAAAGTAAATGATCTAAGAAAAAAATATATAACTTCTTAATTCTACTTTTAATCAATTTGATTTAAATGAATTACAAAAGTTTTTAGAATATGCTATCATTTAAATAACTACATAATCAGCTTAGATGAATCATGCAAAATTATGTTTTATTTTAATGTCAAAATATATAATTGAGATGATCAAGTATGAAAATGAATATCCAAATAAACATTTGTTTTAACTAATAGATATTGCTTAAATAGACATACTTTCAGATCAAGAATTGGCTTATAGAATTAATTGTATTTGACAATTTAGATATTATTAATAATAATACTATTTATATCAAATTTAGTTATATAGATTTATTATTTATAATTAAATCTCTTTTTTGTAGATTTTTATTATAACACTTTGTTTTTAACATACTAAAATTTAATCCATTAATGAATACTTAAAAATTTACAATTTTTTAAAATTCTATTCTAAGTATTTTATTAAAGTATCTTAACTTATTATTATAATAATATTTGTTTTGTATAAATTTTTGGTTTATCTAAATAAATATAAAAGAAAAAATTTCATAAGAATTCTATTTTTAGTTTGGAGGGTTTCTCATAAATCAAATTGAGTATATTCAATAAAAAATTAAAAAAAATTCAGTTTTAAACAACATTTGCAAATATTTTTTTTCTGTAATTTTTGAAATATCTATATTCTTATTCTTATTTTTATTTGATAAGTCATTATTCCTTAATCTTAAATAATATTGAATCAATAATAATATTTCATCTATATCAAAATGGGAGGAATGTGTTAGAAGTAAATTAACATTCCAGAATAGGAAAATAATATATAGAAATAGCCTAAAATCTATATCAAAGGTCCACCTAAACTTTGCAAACCTTCCCCAATTAAGATTTTATAACTTTAAACAGATGATGCTACAATAGAGAAAGAATTATGTATCTCAATACCAAAACTTTTAACTTAAGAAAAGGAATTTGCATTTACTGAATAGGAAATGCCAATCAAGAATGTCAAAAATTCATTAGAAGAAGAACTTCTCTTTCGTTAAGAGAGTGATTAATTAGAGCAGTAAAACAACTCTAAGGAAGAAGCAAATAGTCAAAAAAATGAAGTAAAAGGCTCAAGTAAAGATATGTCTAAACATAAATCGATACTTAAAAATAAAATATACAATGGATCAAACCCTTAAAGCCCTAAAAATTAACTGAAAGATTCACAAACTTTTGGTTCATAAAGATCTATAAAAAAAGTAACTTTCGATAAAAAGCAGAAAGTTGTTTACAGTAGTTTTAGAAAGATAAAAACTTGAATGATGAACATATTTTTACTATTTTGTTTATATTCATTCAAGTAAATTTTATTATAAATAATTTATTGATTTGTTTAAATATATTGATATATGAGTTAAAAAGATGAAACAGAAGAATAAAAAGAAGAATTAAATATCTAGAATGAAAATGAGAATGATGATAAAACAGCTATTTAATAAAATTAATCTTTAAATGATGGAAACATATAAAATAATTCAAGAATAGAGGCCCCTTTTGTTGAATTGAAGAACTTAAATGAAGAAGAAAATTAAGAGTAAACATATATACCAAAAGAGGAGTCTAATGTTGCAACACCAACAAGGACTTCCTAACATGAAGTATCTCCAATTGTATAAAGAGATAAAATTTAATCTGGATAAAAAGGTAGAAAATCATTTGATAGTACAGAATAGAAGTAAGAACAAATTAATAATAACAATTAATTAATAAATGGTTAAGAAATTGTTGGATCATAAATAAATGAATAAGACAATAATTAAGAGTAAGATTAAAATTAATAATAGAAGGATCAAAATGAATTAAACAATGAAAATGATGAAGAATAACTCCAATAATCTTAACATTCATAATAATTTTCATAAAAATCAAACAAATCAACATTATCAGAAAAAATAACAATTTTACAATCAGCTATATAAATGAAGGATGAATTAATAGTAACTATGTAAGAAGAAATTTCAATTTTGAAACAATCTTAATTAGATAAATAAAGGCACATTGAAACTATGGAAAAAAAATATGAAGAAAAATTAGAAAAACTTTTTAAGAAAGTTGGAGAATTAGAAAAACTTCTCAAAGAAAAAGAAAATGATATTGAGTAATATCGAAATGGAAATCAGACATTACATCTACAAGATTTATCAGTTATATCAGTACAAAAAAATGATAATATTAAATCTAATGTAAATGAAAAGAAAGATGTTACTATTTTTGAAGTTCTTAATGAAAAATAAACAACAGCAGATTTATCAGAACTTGGAAATAATTTTTGGTTAATCTCTGCAGAGAGAAAAATATAAAAAAGTAATCCTTTGTATAAAGACTATTTTCCTAAAGAACCAGAACCTGATCAACTTAAAAATAGAATTGCTATTAATCATCCTACTAAAAAATATGATAAATCTTATTGGTTTAAATATGTTGATATTAAGAAACCTACAAGATACAATCACAATATTTAATTACCTAAATTGCCAGAAACTAATCATTAAAATTAATTAAATGACCCTAAAATATTATCTAAATAATTTTAGTAATAATAAGAGATTCAACAATAAATTATTTAGTCTATTTAATAATAAATTCCTTTTGGTTATTCTTAAACAGTATAAAATAAAGTAAATCCAGTATAATAATCTATCCCTTATAGCCAAAAATTATTAGCTAATAATTAAAGAAGTGGTAGTTTATAATAAAAGTAAATTATTATTTAAAAATAGTAATAATTAATTAAAAAATAAAATGTATGCTTCTTAACCTACTATTTTAAAGGCATAATAAGTATCATTTGAACAGGAAGACTTTTTGGCTGATTAAGAAATCGAATAAATGTTTGCTTAGTAATCTCCTCCGAAAAAACAAAAAATAGATTGGGATTCATAACCTATGAATAATTATATGGTTGTTTAACATACTAATTCGTCTTAAGTGATAGAATAAAAAGAAAAGTTTCCCATAATGTCCCAAAAACTCTCGTATGTTAACTAATATTCTCACAAAAAAGAAATGTATTAATTTCATATTAATTATTAGCTCAAGATTAAATGAATCATAAAATTAAAATAGAACTAAAATATCTAAGTATTAATGATTGAAAAATCAATTTTATAATTATTATTTTAAGTCAAAAAATTTATGATATAATCACACTAATTAATTGATTATTGATTAAATAGTAAATTATGAGTTTGATTCTCTAATAATAAATAAATTTTATATATTTTCCAAAAACAACTTCAATTCTCTACTCTAAAATATTAATACGTAAAGAATTACAATCAAAAGATATTTAATAAATATTATAATTTCTTTTCACATGTAGGAACCAAAAAGAACTAGAATTATTTGTTCTGTGAGTGAAAATTGTTCTAATTATGATTTATTAAGGAGTATGGTTGAAGCAGGATGCAACGGTTTTACGTAGAGAAATAGTTTAATTATTTTAGCATTAATATGGCTTATATTAAAAATAAAGAGAGTTTATAAATATTGAATTAAAATAGATGCTAATTAGAAGCTGAATTCAAAACTAAAATACCATTAAATTTAATTTTAAGAGGACAAGTTATAAGAGTAGGGTAATTATAAGATCCTGAAACTTTAATAGAAGTAATTATTTTATTAATTATGAGGAAGGAAATATTGTATATTTGACTTCAGATTAACATAAAGTAGGAAATAATTAATTTATTCCAATAGATTCAAATGAATTTCTTGAAAAATTAAATATAAATGACAAATTAGCAATAGACTATGGTCATATAATATTAGAAATGATAGATATTTAAATGTTTGACCAGTAATAGTTGTTAAAATATTTAGAGTATATGAAAAAATTGGGATAGATTAAATATGTTTATTAAGTGGAGTGAAAATATATATATGCAGATGCTGTAAGACTGGAACTTTAAAATCATTTAAGCCAATATCACTATTTATAGAAAATAAAGAATAAAAAGAAGTAGAACAATAAGAATAATTATCATTGACAGAATAAGATATTTTAGATATAGATTTTGCATGTGAATGTAGTTTTGATAGTATAACATTTTCAAAAGTAAATACTGCATTAGATATTATAAAAGTAATTTATATATTAATGAAAGGTGAAAGAAAGATTAGAAAAAAATTATCCACATATGTAAATATTTGCAAGGATTGCAGAAAAGCTAAAAGATGAATAGTTAGAAGAGATAATTAATTTATCTGATGGATGTATTATTGCAAGATCACATATTTCAATGACTTAGCCAGTGGAAGACGTTGTAAAATATTAAACTTAAATAATATCATTTTGTCGATAATTATTTAAACCTGTATTTATATTAATAATTTATAGGTTTTTGTATCGACATATATTTTGGAATCTATGAGTGTTTAACTTAAACCCTCTTTTGCAGATATGGGAGATATTTCAAATATTGTTAAATAATACATAGATGGAATCTTATTATCAGGTGAAACTAGTTTTGGCAAATTTCCTGTTTTAATTATACAAACTCTTAATAATATTTGTCGAAAAATTGAAAGAAAATTACTTTAAGAACATTTTGATCTTCCTTAACAGAGGGATCAATATTAAGTAAATTTTACTGGATAACCAATTGCTACAGTAATTGCCAAATCATGTGTTGAAATGGCTTATATGTATTTTAATTTATATTAATTAAGCTTATAAGCTAAAGCCATTCTAATGTTAACTAGAAGAATATAAACTACTTTGAAATTATCAAAATTGAGAGCTTCCTGTAAAATCATTTCAATTAGTGATAACTAATAGATTTGTAGATGCTTAAATTATATTAATAATGTATAATCAGAATTAGTAAATGGATTTGCAAATTAGGAAGAGTAATTTAATTAACAATTTATTAAAGAATTATTTAAGAGTGCATTTCAAGATTGATTGAAAAGAATTTATTATAACCTAAAGATTAGATTGTTGTTATTACAGGAATGGTTGTTTAAAATAAGGATTGGCATATTAATTAGATGAAAGTTCTGGAAATATGAAGGAATATTTTTAATGAAGCTTTTTATTAATTATTATTAGTAAATATATTTCAAATAATTATAAAATATAAAATTCAATTCATTTGCTCTATTCTATAATATCTTCCTTCTATTCCTCTTAATCATAAGATTAATGAGTTGGTTACTAAAATGGAAGCTGTTTTTGATTTGTAATAAAATTATCTAATTACTAAAGAGAAAATAATATCTTTGAAATAATACCTTTATAACATCTGAATTTGTTTCTTTTATTTTTCTTTTGGCATTCATGGTAGGATCTCTACTTTCATACTGTTCTTAACTACTTGATTGAATATATATGAAATATGATATTGCAATATGATACGAATTTCTTTTTAATTGTCCATTGTTAAGTTAATTTCTAGAAATTATTTGCTAGATATAATTATAATTTATACTAATTATGATGGCAAACTATTATAAAAGGGATTCATATAATTATGAGAAAACTATTAATATTATTGATGATTAAAATAAGGCTAAGCTTAAAAAGCAACTTAAGAATATATTGGCTCTTTTTTAAAATTGTAGAGATCATTTTTCTTTACATCCTATTATTAAGGTTTTTTCTGTTGCGGTTTTTTATTTTAAACATTGGATTATTATTTAGTTTTTAGAGGAACTGTTTTTTGAATTTTCTTATTGGCAACTTTGATATTTATTAAATAAATAAGGTACTTTTATTTATCTCAGATATCAAAGCGTAAAAATTCTTTACTACTTCTCTAAAATCTCCATCATCGTATATCTTTCTTCTTCTACTCCTCATACACTTATTTTAATTAAAGTTATACATATCTATTTCCTATTAATTGAGGATTATTTGAACTATCTATAAAATTTTCACTATCAACTTGCATCTGTAATTTAAAGATAATAATATGATAAAAAAAGTAGGTTAATTATGTAATATAAATTATTAATTATAAACGATATTAACATAAAAATAAACAAATAGTATCCAAATAAACTTCATTCGATACAATACATCTTTTCAACTGCTTCAATTATTGTTTAGAATTGATCAATTTAATCTAATTTGAAATATTCTTTTAAAAACGGTCTAACATCATCTTAAGGTAAGACCTTATTTATTAAAAACCTATATAATTTAATTAATTAATTATCTAATTTATCATCATAAAAGGATATGATAGGTATACCATTATCTAGATGATGACTAAAATTAATTAAAGATTACACAAAACTATATGATGCATTATCCACTATTACTATATCTTTCTAATCTCGATCAATTACTTCTAAATTCTTAATATAATAATGTGAATTCTCATCAGTCACACAACTATCTCTAAAAATTCTCCTTTTTACTCTTTTTTCTGAATCCAAATAATTGATAACCTAATTTAATAGAAAATGATACTTCATTAGCATAACATTCATGAGAAGCTGTAAAAATCATCACTTCACAAACATCACTTAATAATTTTATCATTTTCTAAGCAAATGGTCGTATATTGATACCAGCATTAACTTTTTCTCCAGTTGGAAATGTAATAGGTAATACAATTTAAGAAGACATAGTCTCTTCTTCATTACAATGAACCAATGTTTCATCTAGATCAAAAATAACTGTCTTCTTAACTAAATTAATCTTTAAAATTCTATACATTTTAAATTTTAAGGGTAAGGTTCTAATTTTATTTTTTTTTCTTATATTTCCTTATCTTCAACTTATTAAAATTACACCTATTTTAAAGTGGGTATAAAATTAAAGGAATTTGCAAAATTATCCCGAAATAACTTTGAAAAATTGAATGTTTCATCCTAAAATGCTGTAATTATATCATCAATATAATATCTATTGGATTGTATTTTCTAGATTATTTTTTAATGATTATCAATCTTATTAAATGTACTATCATCATTATTTTTTTCCATTCTTGTTACAACTTTTTATAACTATAGATGATTTTTTTTCTTTCCAAAATTATTAGGTGTAGTTATTTATGATTTTTCAGCTATTTTTATTATTGGACTTGGCTTAGTCTCTGTCAAATTAGATTGAGGTTGACTCATTTACTTAACAGGCTATTCGGATGTTTTTTTCTCTTATGTTTGACCTCTACATTAGATAAAATTTTGTCTATAAGAAGGTTGATTTACTCTATTATTGTAAAAAACTATATTACGGCAAGGGTTGTTAAATGTTGTTGGCCATAAAACCATTTTAATTGCTCTATTAAAAATTTTAATGTCTTGACATTGATAATTTCACTTAATAATTAATTATAATAATCAAAATTTTAAGAAATTCATAATAAATTATCAAAATATAATATTACCATACAATATAAATTAAAGTTGCCTCCAAAACTTATTTCTTTTTTATTGATAAACTAGTACAATTATTATACTATTGTAATATTTATTATATTATAACATATTATTTCATTTATTCTCTAATATTCTTATGCTTTAACTCGTTCAATAATTTATAAAGATTTATATATATGTAATTATTAATAAAATATATTGGATTATATCTATCATATATATATACTTCAATTAATTCTTAAATTCTTAAAGCTATATTGATTTTTTTTAGACTGATAAAATTAAGATAAATCAATAAATAAATTAAATTGTTAAACTTAATCTTATTTTTCTTAATTTTCTTAATTTTCTTATTATTCCTACTTAATTTTCCTTTTACAAATCTTAGAGATTTTATATTTAACTAAAATGATCTTAAATTATTGGTATAAGTCTATTACTAGACTAATACAAAGCATTAATGTATAAATTCCAACATGAATATATGATAACTTTTCAATCACATTTTAGTCAACTATATTAAATTTATCTTAAGCGTAATAAATCAAAATTAATGTTAAGGATAAGCTCAGTCCTAATTCTTAAGTTATTCCTTTTATTGATTGCAAAAAGTTTAAATAAGGATTAAATGATATTTGAACAAGTGAAGATAATATTTATATAGAAATTAATAATGATATTTAATAGACAGCTTAATCATAAAATAAAAGTAAGGCTCCCATAAATATTAGTTTTTTTAATGGTTGTAGAAATTAAATTTATCTAATTATTTAATTAGTAAAATTAACTCCTTCATATAAAGAACTAAATTAAGACTTAAATTTTTTAGATTTCAATTGATAATTAGATACTTTTAAGGAGGATGATAATATAAATAAAATTACAAATTAAATCAAGAGTAGGAGCATAGCAACTACAAATGATATTTAATCTACTAAATTAGGATTCTTATTCCAAAGCCAACAATAGAATGATGTAAATATTGAAAAATTTAAGTCATAAAGACTAGATAAGTAAATTCTCAGTAAGATACTATAAAAGAAACTAGAATAATATTTAAAGCTAATAAAATGAACAAAGTATATGAATTTATAAAGTAAATAGGTTAAACTATTAAGTTTTTCGAAAGGTGAAAGCTATATAATTTTAAACTTATTAATCAAGATCTCATGAATAATAAATAAATTTATCTTAGCAACTATAAATAAGATTATAGGAGTAATCCATAGTACAGCAATTGAACTTAAATTGACAACTAAATTATATTCTACTTATCTTTCAACAATCAAAGGATAATCTTTATTTTATTAGTAATCAAGGTCTTAAACAATATAAAAATTATTAAAATAGTCATTAGTAAATTCGAATCTAGCAAATTCAAATATTTCTAAAAATTTATTATGCATATATGGAAAATTAACATTAATATAAGTAATATAAGATAAAATTTATAAATTATCGAGTACATTCCAATAAAATTCTAAACTTCCAATTAATAATCCTATGATTGAAACACTCGCAAGTATATATAACACAGAGGCAGCAAATTATTTAGATGCTTTTGATGTACTCAAAGTATCTTATCCAATTTTAATGTATTTAGTCAATTCTATAGATAGATTAGTAGTTTTTAATTGAAATGAATCAACCACATCTTTAATGATAAAAGTTGTGAAATCAACTTGAAATATAATTGATGACATAGATTAAAGTAGTTGTAAATCAATTTAAACTTCTTCCAAATATCCATCTATATTCAAAATGGCAGTCATATTAATATTATAATAAGATACTGTTTAATTGAGTATATTGAATTACCATGCATTTATAATTGATGTATTTGGTATTGCCATAAGTTTATTAAATTTAATAGATCCCTATCTTTGAGATTAATAGAAATCTTTAGCTCTATTAAAAGAGATGGAAGCTATTGGTATATTTAATTTATAACAAGAACTTATAGTATTAATTTATTTTGAACAATCCCAATCTTCTTCAATTTTACATTTTTCTGAACATCCATCTTTATTAATAATATTTCCATCATCACATTATTCATCAGTCTTCTTCATTCCATCTCCACATTTTGAAACACACTTATCTTTACTAGTATATAATCCTTAAGTTTCTTCACAAAAAGCACATTTCTAACCTAATCCATAATCTACTCCTTTTATACAAGATAAACAATCTTTTTATTGTGGTCCAGAACACTCTTTACAATGAAAACTATGAAATTATTATAATTAAGATTTACTCGCATTTTAAACAGTCAAAACTAGGAGTCATAAAATAACCACTTTAACATGTCAAACATTTATTTTTATAACAGGTCTTACATCCCTCAATACATTTAATACATTTAGTCATTAATATTGAATTATGAATCTTTGTATTAGATATAGATTCACAAAAATATCCTTCTTCAAATTTACAAGTATTAGAACAACCATCTCTATCAACATTATTCCAATCATCACATTATTCATTTTTTTAAATTATACCATTTCCACATTAAATAGTTTAACATTGTTCAATTTCAATAGTACAATAAATACAAGCATCATTTTGAAAATAATAATTTTTTTAGCAAACACATTTATTATAGAGAAGTTCGAAATTTTTAGATTCATCACAAGATAAACAATTATATTCATTTGAGCCAATACAAGTTTTACATCTTGAATGACATTAAATACAACCTTATTCTGATTCATAATAATATCCATCTGGACATGTACAATTTGGAGGTGTAGCAATATTCATTTTACATTCTATACAAGTTTCAGAAGTATTTTGACATGATTTACATCTTTTATTACATTATTAACATGTTTATTAATCATTTTCAAAATATCCAATAATACAATTACAATTTGGAGGATTGATTCTATTAATAGAACATTATAAACAATTATTAGAAGATATTTCACAAAGTTTACATTTATTATCACAATTATTACAAGGAGTATTTATATCAATTTCATAAGTTCCATCAGGACATATGCATTTTTATGGTAAAATTCTATTGAATTTACATGATGTACAATTGTTAATTGAATATCTACAAGTAGAACATTAATTAGAACAAGGTAGACATTCATAAGAATTAGGTAAATTGAAATATCCATTTTAACAATAACATTTATTATTGATTAATTACATTTAATTTGAACAATCTAAACATTCAAATTAGGATTTGCATAAAAAACAATTATTAGTACAAGGTAAACATTAAGAATCTTATAAATAAAATCCTGAAGAACATTCACAATTTGGTGGATATGCATGATAATCATTACATGTTATACAATTAGTAGCTGAATATATACAAGTATTACAATTATAATGACAGGCTATAATTAATTAATTTAATAAATTACGTAAACATTTTTTATTAATATTATTAAGATAGTATCCATTTAAACATTAACAATTTTATTTATCACTAAAATTAATTAGATTACATAAACATTATCCATTAATTTTATCATGATCAAAATTATTATTCTTACATTAGATACAACGATCTTAATCTATACAACTAGAACAATTAGAAGGACAAAGAATACAATTATGTTCACTTTCATAAAATCCTTTTGCACATCTACAATTGTTATTTAAATCTCTATTAATTTAGCATTTTGTGCATACTAATATATTAGGATATGTTTAAAGTTGGCATGTAGAACAATATGATGGACATTCTAAATTAAATAATAATTATACATTAACAAATTCTTTATTGAATATCATAATACCCATCTATACAAGGACATTTTGTAGAAGGCTCATTCTTTCTGAATGTTTCACTTCCCATACAAGAATTACATGTTCCAGCAACACAATCAGCACATCCATATCCACAACCAGGTTTATAGCATTAAGGAGTTCCAAAATCTTAATATCCAGTATTACAAATACAGCTACTATTACTTAAAATTCTGTTATAAGTTGAATTGCAAGATGTACATTAAGTACTTGATGAAAGACATGATTCACAAGTATAATCACACATTTAACAATAATAATTTGAATCAAAGTAGTATTTTTGAATACATAAACAACCAAATATTGAACCATTCATATTTTAAATGGTATTATTACTTTAGCATTGATAACAAGAATTAGAATCATTATTTTGACAAGTTTTACAACTTTAATGACATTATACACAATATCCTGATGACAAATAATATTGAAAATTACAAGTTGTACATCCTGAATTATTACAATCTGTACAATTACTTCTAAATGTTGAACAACCTTAATTTATATTCTTAATATTTTACTTAAACAAACACTTCCAGATAAAACAAAGTATGGAAGATTACATTCACAAACTTTTGAAGAATTTAAAACAAAATTAGTAAGACATGATGCACAACTTCCATTGATATCAAAGAAATTACAATATTATGGTAATGTGGCTGATAGGCTACAAGTTGATCCATAATTAAGCTTATTTGAACATTCATTACAAGAAGTACTACTACAAGTTAAACAAGCTGATGCACATTCTCAAATGATAAGTATTAATTATTACATTAACAAATTCCATTTGAATCCATGTATTTTGAACTAATGCAACTACATAAATTATTAATAAAGATATTTGAGTAGTGACAGCAAATATTATTTGTTTATAAGAGATAATTTACTTAACAACTCAAACAATATGTACTATTTTAAGCACAAGTTCGACAATTTGAATTACATATTTAACATTGATTATTTATCAAATAATAACCTATATTACATGAACATGTATTATTTGATTATAAAGTGATGCTGCCAACACAACTTAGACATTCATATTCTAATTATCCAAAACAAGTTAAACATTATTTACTACAAGCTTAAAATTTAATAATATATAATTACATTTGCAAGTATAAATGAAATTGGATTTATATAAATAGAAATTAGGTTTACAAACGCACTCATTATTTACTAGTAATTTTTCATTTGAACAGCTTAAACATTTCTCATATTCACTACATGTCTTACAATTAATATGGCATTCTTTCATATATAAATTATTTACATTTACAAATTGGATCACCTTCAATTTCATAATAACCATCAACACATTTACAATTATTATCTATTAATGATCTTTTGGAATCTAAATGACATTTTAAACAATTATTATTTTCAGAGTCATAACATATTTCACAACTAAAGTGACATTCTAATATATTTATAATTTAATTACATCTACATTCCATATTGTTATAATCATAAAATTAACCTAATTTACATATACAGTTTCCATTAAGTAATTCAACATCATCAAAGCAACTTAAACAATCATTAGCAGTTGATCCTTAACAACTTTAACATGATTTATGACATTCTAAATTTCTTTTATAAATTTACCTTAACATGCTGATTATTGTTCTTTTTCATAGTACGATGTCATGCAAATGCATTGATTATTCTATAATATTCTTTTGGACACACTATTACAAGATATACATTTGTTCTGTCCCAAACCAAAACATTTTTCACAACTAAAATGGCAATCTAATTAAAAATAATACTTCTACTTTAACAAATTTCATCTATTTTTATCTAATTCAGTTAACACTTGTTTATCTATGAATTTTCCTCTTATTCTTGTTAATTTCTATTAATCAAGCTTACTTCAACTATCTTGTTGGCCTTAGTTATTGTTATAGCAACACTTATAAAGACAGATACTAGTTAGTTCATGTGGTTATTTTGAAAGAATTTAAAAGGAGATATTTAAAAATATTAATTGAATACTAATTTCACTAGAAATAAATAAGTTTAATCGAAGCATCCCTTTATATTTAAAAAATAATCAATATTTGTCTTTGAAGACTATTTAAAATTATGTCTTGATCACTATTATTATACTTAAATCAGACAAAAGCTTCAATTCATTCTACATTAATAACAAAAACTGATTAATTTCTTAAAATTTATTTTAAGAAATTAATACTTTTAAATTCTGAACAACCTTATCATACTAATTATTAAATATAGTTAGAAATAATCCCAATAAAATTATTTATATTTATCTTAAATATTGTCTGTGTGATCCTGAAATCATAATTCTTTAATAGATATACTAAAATTGTAAGAATATTCTTACTGATGAAATGTTAACGTTATATAAAATATTAATACAATCACTTTGAAAATAACCATAACATTCATTAATACAAATAAAGGTAAAATTTTTTAATTTAATTTATGACAAATAAAAATATAAATTTAATTTATAATTATCTAATATAAATTTATGCAATCCTATGAATATCATGAAGTGTTTTATTTATAAATTGAGTTTTTAGTTTAATTAATAAGGCCTAATTTTCTCATTAAGATTTTGAATTAAAAATATTGAGTGAAAAATTAATATTTAATAATATTTTTATATTTTAACAAATTTCATGATGATATTTACCTTATTTAGTTTTAAAATGAATATTTAATTATAAATATTAATTAACTACAAAGATAAATATATATATTTATTGTAGATAAAATCATTTATAAAAAAAAGAATAAAAGAATCCTTCATAATAAATCTAATTAAACTATGAATATGTAATTTAAATTTAAGAAAGTTTTATAGAACTAAATTAATGTCTCTCATATATTATTAAAACTTTGTATAAATCATAATATATATTCCTAAATCTAATTTATATCAATATTTTCTAAATTAAAAGATAGAGTAATAGACGAATATATTATATTATTAACAATCATTTATTATAAGATTTTGCTATTTATACATAGAATAACTATTTAAGTTAGTTTTTGATTGAGTTGATTAATAATAAAAATTGAAGTCAATGAGTTCTAAGCAAGAAGAGGCAAGCTAAGGTATTTTACATAAAGAAAACCATAGTTCGCAAGTCTTCAAGACAAAAGAAAATGACTGAGAACTTTAAAGAAATGCTATAAGAAATCAAAGAATAAAAACCATTAAGCAAGAAATCAGATTAAAAGTAGGAGAAGTATTAATAAAAGAAAGTATTAGAATAAAAGAAAGGTACTTTATATAATAATATTATAGTGTATGAATATGGATTTATGACTGATTGGGTAAATTGTGTCTATCCACATGATAATGGATAAACTTTTAATCTATAAATTCAATTTTGTGTACTAAAGCCTAAAAAGCCAGCCATTAAAAAATAAAAAAAGGAATAAACAGAAGAAGGAGTATCTACTATGAATTAAATTAGATTATGTCATTGATTCAAAACTTATTGACTAATCTTGGTTAGAATCCAGAACAAGTTAAAAGATAAAATGATACTCAAATATAGAAGGTTTAAACAACAAATGAAGGAATAATTGTTTATCATCCTTACTTTAAGAAAAGTAAAATATCATTAAATATTTAAAGTCGAATATTAAAGCAAGAAACCTCAATAAATTGATAGAATTGATACTACTCCTGAGTTAGAAGTCTTGTAGTAAAAGTTTGAATCAATCAAAAAGACTTTTAGACCTTTAATACTCATTTGACATAAAATATATATATATTTATATTGCTATTCATATATTAGATATCATTTCAAAACATTTTCAATATACTTTTAATTAAGAGAACCAAGTTGCTAATAGATATTCGAATCAATATAACTTGATTATCCAGTTAATAAATTAATATCATCTATTAAACCTGAATATTTTGAATAAATATCATCCTCTCCTATAAATACATAAAACTATAAGGGTAAATAATGATATATATTTTGTAGTAATTCTTATTGATCATGTAAATCTTCATTATATTTCAAGTATATTTGTAATGAATTTGTATCAAAATTGTATCCAATATAAAAAAATGTCCATTATTATTATTCTTTTTAAACAAAATCATAATTTTTAACAATTTCATATGACTCTTCACATGTACTATATTGAGGTAATAAATTATAAGATTTAAATTATATAGTATGTTGATTAACTAAAATCAAGAATGTTTAATCAGATAACTTTTTTGATAACTAAGGTTCTGTACTAAGTCTTGCTAAAATAGAGAATTAACCATATTCAGTCATTCCATCATATTTAAACCATCCATATAATGAATATTATCTTTCTAAATTTAAAATTGATTTAAATTTTTTATTGACAAGTTAATCAATTCTACTTTCAGCTTAAATTAAATTATGTTTATTAAACTAATTAATCTCTGATTCAGGGATAGTAGTAGTCTCTAATATGTTTTTAATATTATCTTCAAAACCATAACCAATCTTCACTTATATATCATGCATTTATCCAAAAAACTTTCCATAAGAAAATTCCCTTTATCCTACTGTAAGTACAGCTTAATTTGTTAATGGTAAATGCTCAACATTGAATTCTAATTATTTAGATTATCCTGTTTTTGAGAAGTATACGAAACCTTTTGCTCCCATAAAATCTTAAGTATTAGAATAAGCAAAATAAATTAAATTCCATTATCCTTCAAATAATTGTTAATAAGATATTTCTTTACTTTCACTACACTAATCATTTAATACATTATATGTTATAAATTCATATGATTTTGTAGTAATAATAACCATTAAAGTTCTATCTCCTTATTAATCACAATTTTCATATAATTAATTTCTAGATAATCTAAAAATACTATTTTGATCTAGAAAAGTATCATCTGATATTTCATTAAGCCATCTAATCCATAATTATACAGAATATTAAGTTGATCCTATAAGATCATTTTTACCTTCTATTAAATTGATTCTATTTAGTTTATCAAAATCACCTTCATAATCTTTAAATTGATATGCTTTTTATATCAATTTAAGTTCAAATTCTGGTAGATTAGATTTATCTTTAAAAGATCCACTTCCAACTTCCATTCCAATTTATGTAAAATCTCCATTAAAGGCATAATCCTATATTTAAGAACTTAAAAGTAAAATAAATTTATTAGTCAAATGATGTTAAATATAATTAAATACTTTTGTTTCAATAGAATCTATTATCTTAAAATAAACATTAATTTATTATAAATTTTAAGAATAACCCATCCAAAAATAACACCAAGTACCAAAGTTGGCATCTAATAATATATTTTGAATCCAAGAAATAGCTGGTGATTCTTCATTTATAGAATATGTAATAAATTAATATCCATTTTAAGATAATCTAATTTAAAATCTAAATCTTTATTCTTCATTCTATTCTAAACAAGAACTCAATTGTAATATAATTTATTCAAATTTATATTCTTCTTTTATTACATTATCTTAAATTAATTATTTGTTTAATTCACTAGGATTTGGTCTAAACCAGCCAAAAACTGAATATTCTTCTGGGAAATAATTCTCTTTTAAACCTATATTATGTTAAGTAAACTATGATTATTCATTAAGAGTAATGAATTTATATATTTATAATTGTTCATTAGATTATATTTATTTTGATGAATCAACTAAAATTTAGAATTATTAAACATCATCTACAACAGCATTTCCATCAAATCTGATTATAAGATTACTAATCTAACCATTAAATCCTTCATAATTTAACTAATTAATATATATAAATTTTTACAAATTTCCCTAAATTAAAATTGACTTTCCCATTTATACTTTTATGAGATATATTCTTAAGAATCACCCTTATAACTCTTTTTTCTTTATAATGATGAATAAATCCAACAACTTATTATTTATCAGCATTATAACTTAAATAAATATAATTCCAAACATTTTCTTATTAATTCAATAATTAGAATGTTCCAATTTGATATTTTTGAGTATTTAAATCATAAACTTTTACTTTATATTACTTTTTATCTTAACTCATGTATAAAGATAGAATTTCAAGTTCCCTATTTTAAGTTTAAATACAATATAAGCTTGATATTGAAATATATTATTCTTTATCTTCTTATTTTACTAATTCTGGATATTCTCTTAGATATCTTGACCAGAATCCATATCCATAATTTCTTTAACCATCCATACTGATTTATGAATTAGAAACAAATACTTATTGAAATCCTGATTTAATTGATGGTATATTAATAATTTTATTAAATTAACCTTTCCATTCAAATGAAGTTGGAAAGAGTTTCAAACCTTATTTAAATGCTTCAGTCAAATAATGAAATTATGATTAAAATGATCCTAATCCAAAATCTATTTTAAAATAATCAATATCTCCAAATAAATCATTTGTTTATCCATCAAATCCTTTATAAACAAGAAAATATTTAGATGCATGATGAATACATTCAAATGAATTTTTCATTCTTTTAGTTTTTGTTTATATGAAATAAAGACATATATGTTTCTTATGTCCAAAGTATATATAAGTCCATTATTTTTTATCTTATTCGTTTTCTATTTCTATCTTCTTTTCTTATAATTAGATATAATCATCTTTATCAAATGAATAGCTTAAAAAATATAAATTATTATTTTAATCCATTTTAACTCCCAAAGTAATATCACCTGGTTTCTAATCACTATATTCATTAGTTGACATTAAAAATATAAATTAAAATTCATTTTCTGTTTTTCCAATACTCTTAAACCATAATTAAATACCATATTCTGAAACAACATCATTTAATTTATATTCTGATGGCATTTTATTAAGTCGATCATTTGAGAACTATTCAACTTATTTAAAAATCCAATTGTTAGATATAATATTTTCTGGAAATATCTTTTATTTGTTAAATTTTGGTATTATACTATCTTTACCAAAATATAAGTTTGCATCTTAAATATCTCCATTAAAATGTTTTATATTTTAAAATCTTGATCCAATTGAACCAATAGAAAAAAATAGATAATTGTCAATTAAATAATGTACAATATCATTTTAACTATTTGTACATTTATTAACTCCCTTAATATTGTATATACAACCAAGAAAAATTCCTTATTCTTTATAAATTCTCTTATATCCAGTATATAAATATAGCCATTCATTATCTAAATGAGTATTAATATAAAATTATTTTTATTTTTTATCTAGTACACTATAAGATTCAAATTGTATTAGATTATTTTATAAATAAACTGAAAGAGTACTCTCACCAAGATTATTATTATATTTATATTATTAAGTAGTTCCAAATCTTGATAATCCTAAAGATTAATTAGTAAGTGTATCAATTTTTGATGGACTATTATAAAGAAATCTCATCCAAAATCCATAACCATATTCAAATGAATCAATTTTAAATTAAGATGGATCAATCTCATTTTCTTATAAATCCTAATTAGAATTTATATCTATTATCAAATTGCTTTGCTAAAATTTCCAAATTTCCATCTTATTAAGTATATTAAAATCTATTAATCCAATCTATGCTTGAAGTATTTAATCATCTTCAAAACCATCCTCTTAATATGCTCCAGCACCATAATTAAATGTCCAACTTTTTAAATATCCATTAAAACCAGGATCATATTCATCCTTTTATAAATTAATATAAATTCCATGAAGTTAATAATGATGAATTTACTCATGATGAATAACAAAAGCCTTCTCCTCAAATTTCCAAAATTAAAAAATTTTATTTCTATTTGTATCATAAGCCATATAAATAAAATGCCATAATTTCTCTTAATTTTCAGTTTATATATTCCAATTAATCATATTACAATTATCTATGCAATTATAACTTTGAAATTAATATCCTTAGTCATTTTAAATTAAATAAAAGATTTTATCAAAAAAATCTTAATTGATTTCTTTTGAATGACTTAATCGTACAATTAAATTGTGATCTTTAAATTCAATTGGAATATTAAATTTCAACCATCCTGATATTGAATATTATTATGGATCAATCTCCTAAAATTCAAATTATTTAAATATTTGTTTATCATAAAATGTCTCCTCTTGATGTTCTAATAATATTTATTATTAAAATATTTCATTTAAATTAAACAATAACGGATATTATTCATAAGCATAAATTTTTAATTCTTCTTCTGTAATAGGATATTACTCATTAATTAATAGAAATATATTGCAATACAACCCATTAAAAGCATAATTATTAAATTCTCGTTTGATTAAAAATCTTAAGAAATCCAATCTATAATGTTTAGCTGGAATTAGTGCTTCTTCAAATTTATCATCTTCTAACAATAAGTATCCTCTAGCCAAAACTAGTTTATTATATTTCTATACATTCTTAATAAGAATATCCAAAGTAAATAAAAGCCCATTTGCCATCTAATTATTCTTTTTCATATTTAGCATTATAAAACTTCTCTGGGTATTCAGTAGTGTAAGTAGTGAAATGATAAAAATCTTTACTCAACCAGATTGACAAAGTTCTATCTAAGGGACTTTAATAATCAGTATGATTCTATCGAGTAGTTAATCTACTTATTGAATGCCAATCTTTTTATTATTCCAACTATTTTGGATATACAAATGAGTATTTTAACCAGAATCCATAAGCATAAGTTTAAACATCATCAAAGTCTTAATTTCTATTTAGACTTATATCCCAAACATCTTTAAATTAATCTTCATCATAGGCTGATGTAAAAATAAGTTAATCTGGCTCATAAATAAGGCAATTAACCAAAAAAGGAATTTATAATAGTATAAATACTATTATATTAGAATTCATATATTAAATAAAAATAATATTCTTCAAGAATATTATGAATGTTAATATTCAGATAATAAAAATTTATTTTTAGCTTCAGAACTCTTTTAGCATATTCCAAGTTGTAATATTTATATATAGGTTTAAGATTTATAGTTGAAATATATTGATTTTTTTAGGTAAAATCAAATTAAGTTTATAAATCAATATCTTCATCAATAACTCTTTGTTCCTTTCTATATTAAACTATATTAATGATATTATATTAAATTATATTAAATTAAATTATATTAATGATCTATAAACTCTAACCTATTTTTTATCTGCAAATGAATATTGTGCCTTTCAATCTATTTTCTAAGCCTTTCTGATCTACATTTTGGATGAAATTCTAAATACAATATTAATTATAATATTCTATCTTTTAATTCATTATAAAAGTTAATTGTAAGATTAGGTATATATAAATATAAGTAAATATTATTCTAAACTAAACTAGATTTTTTTTAATATTATGAATGTAATTATTATCATCAAAATATTTAGAAGGTTAATGAATATAATCATAATATACAAAATCTATATAAGATTGATTAAGTTAATATAAATTCAATTTTATATTAGAAAATGACTACAAATATAAATATAAATACAATTATATTTAAAACATAATTCTGAATGTACTATTAACTTTTTATTATTTTATATGTTAGTAAGATAGTAAGATTATTAGATATTTAAAATTAGATAAAAACATAAATTCCAAATATTGTTTACTAAAATATAATCAAAATATAAGTCAGGCTTTAAAATATTTTTAAAATATTGGTATTATGATATGAATAATATCTTAATGAGATTTATATTACCAAATTATTGTATTAGTAGTTAAATTTGTAAATTATATTATTAAAACATGAATTAAGAAGACATATTTTTAAAAAAATAGTGGTTCATTAAGTCTTGTGAGGGAAAGATTGAATAATATTATGATATAAATCTTAAGAAGGTAATTCTATTTGTCAATGATAAAGGTAATTGGGTCTGGAACATATGGAAGCGTTGTAAAGGCTGTATTAAAGGGCACGAAATAATAACGTGCAGTTAAGGTGATACCCAAGAGTAAGGTCAAGAATCCAGAACGATTTAAAAGGGAAATTGATATACTTAGAGCAATGGACCATCCAAATATCATAAAATTGTATGAAACTTATGAAGATTAAAGAAATGTATATTTAGTGACAGAGTAAAAATATTCATAATGAATTAGATTATGTGAGGGAGGTGAATTATTTGACAGAATTATGGATAAAGGATATTTTAATGAAGCTGAAGCTCATGCTATATTTTTGCAAATAATTCAAGTATATAGATTAGTAAATTTAGGCATTAAATTATTGCCATTCAAATGGTATATGTCATAGAGATTTGAAACCTGAGAACTTTTTATTCTTAACTAAAGCAGAAGATTCTCCACTTAAGGTTATTGATTTTGGTTTAAGTATTTTATTTGAAGATGGTCAATAAAAACCAGGTGCTTAAAAAGTATCAATGAAGACCAAAGCAGGAACTCCATATTATATATCACCTGAAGTTCTAAAGGGTAATTATGATGAACTATGTGATATCTGGTCAGCTGGTGTTATATTATATATTTTATTATCTGGAGTTCCTCCATTTTATGGGGATACCGATCCAGAAATATTAGAATCTGTTTAAAAAGGAGTTTATACAACTGATATTCCAGAATTTAAATTTGTTAGTGATGCTGCAAAAGATTTAATTGCAAATATGATTACAACACCTGATAAAAGATTTAAAGCTTCATAAGTTTTATAACATAAATGGATGAAAGAAAAAAATAAGCCAAACAAAGAATTAAAATTAAATTATGGAGCATTAAAAAATTTTACTGGAAGCAATAAATTAAAGAAAGTAGCTTTAACCTTTATTGCCTCTTAATTAAATGAATAAGAAATTTCTCACTTAGGAAAGTAATATATATATATATATAATTATATAGATTATTTAAGCAATTAGATAAAAATGGAGATGGAGTATTAACTATCGAAGAAATAAGAGAAGGTTTAATAGGAATGAGTGATGATTAATCTAAAGAATTAGCAAATATTATTAAAAGTATTGATACTGATGGAAATGGAAATATTAATTATACAGGTATTCTATGAATCTTTAATTTAGAATTTTTGGCAGCTACTATGGAAAAATAATTGTATATGAAAGAAGAAAAATTATATCAGGCCTTTAAAATGTTAGATTTGGATGGAAGTGGTAAAATTGATAAAAAAGAATTATAATAAGTTCTTGGAAGTAATTCTTTATTAATAAATAAATTTAGAGTCTGAAAAGATAGTGAATGAAAAATATTGGGATGATATGATTAAAGAAGCTGATAAAAATGGAGATGGAGAAGTATTTATATTTAATTTATTATAGATTGATTACAATGAATTCATTGAAATGATGGATAGATTCAGTTTAATGAATTGACAAACATATTATAATATACATCAAACAAATATTATTAAAAATACAATTAAATTTATATTAATGGACATTGACAATATATTTCCAAATTAAAAAGAAACTAGATGGGTGAATAAATAAAGAACATTAATAGTCACATCTAAAAACATTTCTGATAGAATTAGATAATTGTTTATGGATTTACATGAATTACTTCCACATTCAAAAAAAGAAACTAAACTTGAAAAAGGAGATACATCTAAATAAATTAAAGAATTATGTATGTAACATTCATGCAGAAGTTTTATTTATTTTGAAGTGCATAGAAAACATGAATTATATTTATGGATTGGAAGATTTCCTAATGGTCCTTCAATTAAATATTATATTGAAAACTGTAAATTATAATATTTATTTTAAAAGGGCATAATTGTTAAGATTTGAAATTAACTGGTAATTGTATGAAAGGAAGTAGACCAATTCTTTCATTTGATGGATCATTTAATGAAGACCCTTTAATGATTTTATAAAAGGAACTATTTATTCATGCTATTAATGTTCCTAAACATCATCCAAAAAGTGCTCCTTGTTGTGATAGAGTTTTTTCTTTTATTAAAGAAAGCCCAGATAATAATAATATTTGGATTAGAAATTATGAAATTTAATATGAAAAAGCTGGAAAAGAAATTATAAAAAATTAACTTGTAGAAATTGGACCTAGACTTGTTTTAAAACCAATTATAATACTTGAAGGTTGTATATAAGGAGCTTAATTATGGAAAGATACAGCATATATAACATAAGCTAAAGTTCGTTTGGAAAAGAAATTAGAAATTAAAAAAGAAAAAGATTTTGCTAATAAAAAATAATAAAAAAAAGAAAAAATGCTTAGCAAACTAGAAACTTAAATTGATGAAATTGAAAATATATTTGATAGAGGTTAAGAATAAGATTAAAATGAAGATTTTGTCACTGAAGATTCAAATGTAGATCTTGATTAATTTGAAGAAGTTTAATGATTTCATAGATTTATGTATATTAAAGCAAATTTACATTCATGATAAACTCCAATTCTAAATATAATTAGGCTTCTCTTCTTCATCCTAATAGTCTTCATCAATAATTGCTTCTGTAAATTTTTATTAATTCATAAATTACTCCTTATTTCTCTTTATTAATTTTGGAGGAAGCATATTTTTATTAAGTAGTTTATTCCAACTAATATCTGCAAAAAATACATGATTCTTTATCTCTGTTAAATTTGGACGTTTAATTTAATCTCTTTATAACATTTCCTTTAATATTTTGACTGCCATTTTTGATTGTATTCTATCATAATTAATAGGACAATATTATATTCTTTCAAGCATTAAATCTATATTTTATACAAAATGAGGAGGATATCCACTCAACATTTCATATAGCAATACTCCTATTCCATAGACATCAACAGATTAAGTTGCACCTTCTCCTTTTATGATTTCTGGTGCTAAATAAGCAGGAGATCCACAAAATGATAAGGCAGCTCTATCATTAATAATTTCTTTAGCCAATCCTAAATCAGCTAATTTTAAGTAACCATTTTTTCCAACTAATATATTCATAGGTTTTAAATCTCTATATATAATATTAAGTGAATGTAAATATTCAATAGCTAATATTACTTATGCAATTAAAATCTTAGATACATTTTCAGATAAAACACAACCTTATCCAATATAATCAGATAAATCTCCTTTTTCATAATATTTCATTTAATAATATAGATTTTATTTTGTTTAAAATAATCCTTTTATACTTATAATAAAAGGATGATTTATCTTTCTTAAAAGTTTTACTTCATTTATTGCATACTCAAGTTAAGAAAACTTTCTAAGTTATTCTTTGTTTTATTATTTTAAAACATACATCTTATCATCTTTGAAATATTTTGCTTTATAAATTGTGCCAAATGATCCTTTCTACAAAATTTCTAAAATAAAAAAATCTTAAAATTTAAGATTTTTAAATAATCGTTTTTCTTATTTTTTCTTAATTTCAATATTTTCTTATTTTTTTTAATCTTGAATCGATAATTAATCTTAATTAGTTTATTAATCAATTTCTACTGATTAATTATTCATATCTAATAACATAGAATTAACTTAATTAAATACTTTTTCACCTTCTTTTTTTTTATTATATTAATCTAATTTATATTTTACATATTTTGTATATCCTACTGCTGTTTTTATTGAATCATACCATATTTATGCCATTTATTTAGATTAAAATAGAAAATAAATCTTTTTCTCATTATATTCAATCAATAAATAAATTGAATTATTACTAAAAGTTCTATCTTTTATAATAATCTAAAGATTATATATATTTTAAAGTGGTATAGTTTCTTTGGGATTCAAAGGACAATTTTCTTTATTTTAAAATCTCACCAAAACTCCACATTCTGGATCAACTACTATATATCTTTAATAGGAATATAAATGAGAAAAATTCAATTTCTCAACATAGCCTTTGTAAATAGGTGGCTTCTT